CTTTTATCTCTCAAACCAAAATTTAAATGCAAAACTAGTATAATATATTTTTTTCTTAATTTTATCCTTATTATCTTGTCCATAATCCAATACCGAGTCTTGTACAGTTGTATAGTTGGAGTTGAATATTTAGTCATCGTTTCAGAAAGGATGCTTACTAGCGGTCAAGCAAGGATACTACCAAGAGTACACATCACCAATATTTCCAAACAATAAGCTAATTAAATATGGACGAAAAGTAGTAATATTTTTATATTTAATTTTTGAGTATTCTCTTTATACTCTCAGCTCATTTGATTGTACGCGAACTACTACCAAAAAAAAAATAAAAATTAAAGAAAACATATTAATATACTATTCAAGTATCGAGTAGTTTATTTTGCATTTAGGTTTCAGATGAAGTTTATTTATTCATATTGTATAAGTTCAAGTATGACGTATGAGTGACAAATGAAATCAGGTAATTCAGATCAAATAAATGACTGCTGCTCTTCATCATTTTTTTAACACTCGGTTACACTAAACAAGCTTACCAATTTCCAAAACCCCCGAATCCTCTCTTACTTATTTTTTTTTTTACGTAAAAGAAACTTTTATTAACTTGTTGGAAGACGTCCAACCACAATTAAGAGAGGATTATAATCACTAACATATTACAAAATGACTAGAATTTTATGATTAAGAATTAATCGATCATCTTTACTGCGGACGTCTAAAACACGAACTCTTCCACAGCACTAGCAAATATTTGTTGAAAGTATCACGTACCAAAGAAAATCCATGATCTCGAATACTTCACTTGTCATCAGATAAAGATCCCAAAAAGCAGATCTAAAATATAGATTTGCTTTGACTGCAAATCCTTGGACATAAACTATAAACCATAACAGAACAATCACGGACAAAACCATAAATTAAAGATTATACACAACCACAAAAGAACTAAATTACGATCAATAGAATGAGATCTATTGACAAACTACTAACACCAAGTACATCAAGATTTACTGGGACTAAATTTATTTAAATTTAAAAATCTAAAAGAAGAGACAAATTACTCTCCATTCTCCCATAAGAGAGAAGATGGAGAAGAAAATTAGGCCGCATAAAAGGAAAAGAAGGAGAAGAGAGAATGATTGATATCAAATTTGTAAAATATTCTGTATCTTCTCCAACTTAGAGACTAATAATAATCTAGTTTCCTGACTTTTTATTTTTTGTGGGCCAAGAATTAATCTAGTCGCGAGTAGCGACTAACTAACAAATTAAAGGGTTGATCACTTCTCAATTATGCTTATCATTTATTTAATTATTACATTTTTTTTTCATTTGTCCACTTCGAAGATTATGCTCCTTGATTCTTCGACCATACACAAAAATGATATAATTACATTCTAAAATAATTGTCTAATTTGAATTTTTATTTGTCCACTTTAATATATAATTAAAGGTAAAAAAAATCTAAATTCGACAATCATTTTGTGTATAAAGATAATAAAATAAAATGAAATAAATAAAAGAATAATCTCTAATAAACAACAACTTGTTGATTTAAGTTTATAGAAATTCTTAAATAGTTATTGGTGCTGGCTAGCTGTAGCATTTGGTTTGCTTTTTCGCTGCATTTTTTCATAATTAAATATTATTGTCCTATATCCCAGTATAACTTTTTACATTAATACACCTTTTTACATTTTCAATAAGAAAAATACTTAAAAACACACACTAAAAAATAATCCAAACATACCCATAATAATTAGGCTTCCTCATGATTGAGGAATGTCAAACAATAAATTTCAATAAGAAAAATACTTAAAAACACACACTAAAAACAATCCAAACATACCCATAATAATTAGGCTTCCTCATGATTGAGGAATGTCAAACAATAAAACTTGCCTTTGTTTATTCACCCACAACTCACCTAGAACCCTTCTATTGCAATATGTATGAAAGAATTAAGCAATGTTATTCGTTAATAACGGTGATAATTACATCCTCTCAAGTCTTAACAAGTAAGAACTTTGAAGATTCCCGGCCCGTCGGTTGAATAAATCAACTAGAGTGATGATATAATTGTAAGATCAAGACGTTTATAAATCCTAAAAAATAACTATACGTAACTAGCTAAGTTTTGGCAACTTGAAAAAGAAAAATAATATTCCCCACTACAGAAAAATATATAATCTACTTTGTTATATATTACATTACACACTAAAGTTTTAGATGTTTATCCTAAAAAGGAATATTCTTTTGTACATGATGGAAAAAAATAGGTTATGTTTGTTTCGTTTTTTTGTGTGTGTTTTTAGGTATTTTTTTTTTGTATTGAGAATGTTAAAAGGTGTATTGAAAATATAAAAAAATATGCTGTGATGGGACAGTTATTATTTTATTAATATAAAAAAACCATAAAAAAAAACTAAACTAAGATTCATAGGCTGACTTTTGCTCTAATTAACGAAAACATTCCAAATTAATTAATACACTTCTATCCGTAGTTGCCAGTTGGAGTTGAAAGATGATTAATTTACGTGATTAATCCTTTTTTGAAACTTCTTGCGCATTTTGCCACGAGTGTATATCTAATTATCTATCATTGGGAAATATAAACTATTAGTTGAAAATAACTTTTACTTTTTGATCGATACCTTTTTCATAAAACTTCAGTTGTGAAAATTCAATGACAAAGACAAAGCAACGAAAATTCGTTACTGAAATTTGCATGGTTCGCACTGTCGCACACAATGGAAACGACCGGGATCCGTTCCTAGGTAGCTATAAAGTTTTACTTTGAAACTTTGAAAGAGTACTATTTAAAATAATTTTGAAATCATCATTCAGTTTTGTTTTTTTTTTTTTTCACTAAAAATAAAAATAAAAATAAAATAATTATTTTGAGACAAAAAAAAAAAAGAGTAATACTCCTCCATCGTTAATGAATTGTCAAACCCATTTTTAATAACAACGTGGTACGTACGTTACGTGTCTATAAATAGATTCATCAGGTTCGTTTTGTTTTCTTCAGTACTCAGACGCGCAAATGGTGTTTTGATGAAGAATTAAACAAACATCAACAGATTTTTTTTCTGTTCCGAAGCACAATCTCCAGGTATTATTCTCTTTTAACTCGCTTCTTAATTTTGCTCTTACTTACTAATACTTCATGAACGCGAAAACGAATTAATATGTATCCTCTTTAAATAGTACTATCTCAATTGAATTTATTATTATTTTTTTTTGGTAGAAATAGTATTCTTACGAGTACATATATATATAGTTTTCTCTTGAAATCGAAAAGTTCTTCATTTTCACGATTTTTTTGGCCTGACTCATAAATTAATTTGGTTTCCACTACTTTGATTTGAGAGTTTCCTTCCTTTCTAAGAGTAACTCTAATTATCAGGATGATGAATCAATCTAAATAGTCACAACATCTCTCATATCGAACATCTAATACATCTTCTATTCTATTCTTTCTTCCTTCTCATGCATGCATGTTTTTCTACCTTTTCAAAATCCCGAATTATATCATTAGATTTTGATTTTTTTTGTTTACAAATATAACTGATATTTCTCGTTCGTTAATGAAGATTAGACCGATAATAACTTGACATGCATGCTGTAAACTGTAATTACGATTCAGGAAAAAAAAAATTACTTAATGATGTATACAAAGTGTTTATAAATAAACGTATAAAACTACACATCACATGAAAATGACTGAAAGACTTTGGACCATAATTCTTTTTATTAAAAAAATAAAAAAAAAAATACGGTTCACCAGAATAGACGGAAGCTTTTCTTTTATTTTCTTTCCTTTGTCTGTATGTGCTCTCCTCTCTTGACTTGCTCAAAATCAAATTCAACCTTGTTAGTGGAGTCAATAAATTGTAGACTGTACGAGGGAAATAGAATATGTTTTATTTAGTAGGAGAAATATTACTAATTCATAAACTTAATTTTAACTGAGAAAAAGCTTTCTTTCTTTCTTAAGTTTTTTTGGGTAAAAAATAATTTATATTTTAGTTTTGCTTAGTCCCAATTTTTAAATTTTATGCACGTTTATAAAATATATATAAAAATCAAACGACATCTTACATGCAATGGGTGTAAAAGACTTTGGACCATAATTTTTTTTTCCCTATTTTGTTGCTGAACTAGAATACACGGGAGCTTTTATTAATTAATTAATTAATACTATCTTATAATTTCTCTGTTTCTCCTTACTTGACCTGCGCTAATTAATTAACTAATTAACTGGGAGAAAATCCAAATCAACCTCCTTAACGACTTGAAAACTACCACCTTAATATTGTATATAATTCATTGATAGCGACTTTCTGCCATTCATCTCGGTTAGATTGGACGTTATAAATTAAACAGTTAAGAAAATACAGAAACAATTTTTTTTTTCCTCACAAAAGAGCAAAAATCAATATATAGTTCGGGGCCGGTAAAACAATTTTAAGAAGGAGCTATTATTAAAATCACAATTTACATTTATCTATATATGTGCATAATTTTAAAGCTAAGCATTTCGTTCCGTGGAGTTAATTAATTAATTAATGGTAAGCCGCAAGTATTACCTGCATTTTTAGGGGACATTGTGCCAAATTAAGCTAAAACTAATATAGAAACGGATGCAAAATCAGCACTAAGTTGTTTTGTTCTTCTTGCCATTATCCCAATGGATCCCAATGGATTGAGTACAAATACATAAACCAGAAAATAACCCCTAAAAAAAATTAATAACTAATTTCCGTTCGAAGTAGTATGTAGGTCGTAAAAGTTTCACCGCGTTTAAGAATTCAAACTGTGAATATTCGAACCAAATTTTTGATGTTTTACACACACTCCAAATTTGTCCATGATTATATTCTTCAGCTATAAACAGAATATCCTGTCCGTCTTCTACCTATTTATTTGGCTATATTTTGCATGGGAAGGTCGAAAGTGGTTCATACAAAAAAAGAAGAAGAAAAGAAAAGAAAAGATCGATGGTGAAAATGCAGAATAATGTGGATTCAAGAGGAGGATCAATGGATGAGCAGTTCGGAAAGTTGCACCCGAGATTTCCGGTCGAAACGAGGATCGGAATCGTCGGAGCCGGTCCGAGCGGAGTATCTGCTGCATATGCCCTAGCAAGGCTTGGTTACAACAATGTGACGGTTCTTGAGAAGCATGACTCTGCCGGTGGAATGTGTGAATCTGTTGATATTGAAGGTAATGTTTTAATTTCGATCTTTATTTCTTGCCAACTGATTAAAGTTAGTCGAATGAGGTTCATGAACATAATCTAACTTATAATAGAGTGCAGTGTAATAGTGTAGGTATTTTTCACTAATATTACAGGTACTCTTTAAAAAAAACAAAAAAAAAAAAGGTAATGTTTTATACTACTATGTATTGTTAATTTTCTTGTGTTACATGCATTTTAATTTATAAAACCATGAGTTTGGATTGCTTTTTGCATGTGAAGAATCGAATTACGAACTCGTGATAATAACGATATGGTGAAAAAAAAAAATGTGCATGCTAATTAATTAAACTTGTGAAGAATCCAAAAGAGAGGGATGTAATTACTTAACGCCCACTATTCAATGACTAGTCCATGTGGGAAATCTTTTGTATCGTCGCTTCCAAATATTTGTTAGAGCAAAGATAGAGTTAGTGAAAATTATATAGTTAAAATGTATGATAACTGATGTGCACATAACTAAACTAAAAATTTAGAACTTTGTTTGAAAACTTTATAACATTTGAAAATATTACGTATGCACGCATATACATGGTTTTAATATTTAGAGTAAAAAATGGGCTTCAGTCCAAAAATCATAATGAAATAATTAACTAATAATTTTAATACCTATTAAAAATTTTTGTTACTTTGAAATATTCGTTCATTTAACATTATCGATGTAAAGATCAGAAAATGTTGATTTTTGTTGACTTTGTCTTCGTCGACTTTATCGTCTTCTTGGAAAACTCGACGAGTAAGTCGACGAAACACAAATCATTTGTTACAATTATTTTTGCAATATTTAATGGTATTATTGTCGATTATTGTTAACGTTAAAAATTTTCAAATATTATTTATTACATACATGAATTATGAGCTTCTACTTTCTATAAGAAAACATAGTTATAACGTGTAGTATACTCCCTTCGATCCTTAATATAAGGCATTTTGATTTAATTTAGGTTTCACCTAGTATATATTTTTAGTCGAAAAGAAAAAATCTTAAACATATATTTTTACATTCGTTGTGTTCTCTTTATTGTTATGAAATATTTTTAAGGTTTTTTTTGTCAATTAAAAATTTGTACTAGGTGAATGACAAATCAAAAATGCTTTCATCGATTTTGTTATCTTGTTAGCAAAATTAATGAGAAAGTCGACGAAAGCGAAAATAATTGTTTTAATCATTTTTACCTGTGCATACCACAAGCATAGCCTTTTTACTTAAGTTGTTTCAGTATTTTTTTGGATTTTCTTATATCCCGGTTACATATGATGCATCAATCACTAGATTCATAAGGTCGTTTGCATGGTAGCTGAGATTTATGAATATAAATGATGAAGACACTACTTGACAATCTTGACTCTAAAATCTCCAATGTATATTTACAGGAAGGATTTATGACTTGGGAGGTCAAGTTTTGGCAGCAAATAGTGCACCCACTATTTTTCATTTGGCAAAAGAGATTGGTGCCGAACTCGAGGATTTGGACACAGATAAATTCGCACTAATTGATAGCTTGGGAGGTAAACTTAGTGAAATGACATTGGTGGAGGATTATGTCTCCATGATCTCTCTTACTTTGAAGCTTCAGGTTAGTTTTGTCAAGAACTAACAAGACTTCTGAGTACCTTTTTTAATTCCACTTAAGATGTTGCTTACTTCATCATCTGCATTTTCTTTTTGTTTTTGGCAGGATGAAGTGAATACAACAGGAAAACTTGGGGTGAATGGCGTGAGTGAGATTGCTTCAGATTTAGCTCCATCATTTCTCAGTGACCGCGGCTTAAAATCTGTCCCTAAATCGGTATCTTACGGTTACACTGCTTCAGGATATGGGTATGTTCAGGACATGCCTTATGCTTATGTTCATGAATTCACCAGAACTTCGATGGCCGGAAAGATCAGGCGTTTTAAAGGAGGTTACATGAACTTCTGGCACGAGCTGAGCCAACGAATACCTATCAAATTTTGTTGGAACACTGAGGTGGTATCAATTAAACGAACCCCTATTGGAATCACTGTGAATGCTAAAGATGCTGATGGAGATATCCAAGTTTTGGAGTTTGATAAGATTATAATCTCTGGAGCTTTTCCGTTCCAAAATACAAAAACATATAGGGCACCGCCTTCTAGGACTCTAACAGGTTTGTCGAAATTTCACCTGTTTTTATATTTCTTTTAAGTAATTTCCTTCTTTTGTTAATCCTTTTCATATACAGGACCTGCGAATAAGTATCTGGATTTGAGCTTGCTTGAGAATGATCTTTTCAGTAAAGTACAAACCATAGACTATTACACCACTGTCTTGGGGATCAAGGGATTGGACCATGTTCCAAAGGGATTTTACTACTTTAGAGAATTTATGGATGATCCAGCAACACTAGGGAATCCTGTTGCTATGCAGAGATTTTATAGTGACACAAACATTTTTCTGTTCTGGTCTTACGGGAACTCCACCGACATCACAGGTCCAACTGTTACTGATCTTGCCATAACCGCGGTAAGGAATATGGGAGGTGAAGTTGAGAAAGTGGTTCTACAACGGCGATTCAAGTACTTTCCTCATGTCAATAGTGAAGGTATGTCATGTCATTTTGAGTGAGAAAGTTAATTTGCTTCTTAAACAAATCTTTGATTTCAAGCATTCTTATGAAATGGTTGTAGATATGAAGAAAGGATTCTATGAAAAGCTAGAACATGAATTACAAGGACATTGTAACACATATTACGTAGGCGGGTTAATGGCTTTTGAGCTGACAGAGAGAAATGCATCATACTCGATCGCTCTTGTTAGGAAACACTTTGCAAGTGATACTCCTGATTTCACATATTTGAAGGCAAGATATTTTGATCCAACTCACAAGCATATTCAGTTCATAGGAATTGCACATTTATCTGGTTTTTTTTTTTTTCTTAACTGACACGAAAATTTTACTTTGCAGAGACTACTTCCATTGAAATCAGGCTCTTCTGGCTTAATTTCTCACAGACAGTTGAATGAACTCCCTGGAGTACAGTTCCCTGATCTTCCTTCCTTAAATAGTTACTTGAGATACTGGGGAAATCATACAGTTACTCAGGATAAGATACTTTATACTTGGATCAATGAAAGAGGGGAAAGGGTATCTCAAAGGACATTCAGAGAACTGGATGACAATGCTTCAATCATCGGTCACAAGATTTTAACATGCCAAAACCCCAGCATTAACCCTGGTGACAGGGTTCTCTTGGTGTACATTCCAGGCCTGGATTTCGTAGATGCATTTTTCGGGTGCCTTCGAGCCGGAGTTATTCCAGTGCCTGTTATTCCACCTGATCCATCACAAAGAGGAGGACAAGCACTTTTACATATCACCAACATAGCCAAAAGCTGTAGTCCAAAGGCAATCCTATCAACTTTCAACTACCATGTCGGAGTTCGCGCAGCTTCTGCAAAGAATAGGCTTTTATCACATGGAAAATGCAAATCCACCATTGCCTGGCCTAACTGTCCATGGTTGTACACTGATGTTTGGATAAAGAAATCAAAGATTCTCGCCGAAATCAATAAAACAGTCGATTTCAGCGTGCCTGAACCGAATGAGCTATGCTTTCTCCAGTTCACATCAGGCTCCACAGGGGAAGCAAAAGGAGTCATGATCACTCATGGTGGGCTCATCCACAATGTGAAAATGATGCGAAAAACATACAAGAGCACATCAAAAACTGTACTTGTGAGCTGGTTACCACAGTATCATGATATGGGACTAATCGGGGGGCTTTTCACGAGTTTGCTTAGCGGGGAATCAGCAGTTTTATTTTCTCCAACAACATTCATCAAAGATCCCTTATTATGGTTACAGGTTATGAGTAAATACCATGCAACTCATAGTGCTGGACCTAATTTTGCCTTTGAACTTGTTGTCAGGAGGCTAGAATCAAGCAAAGTGCAGAATCTTGATTTGTCTTCCTTGATTTTCCTCATGGTTGCAGCTGAACCAATAAGGCCTGGAGCCTTGAAAAGGTTTCTTGAACTCACAGAACCTTTTGGACTCTCCCAAGAGATCATGGCTCCTGGATATGGTTTGGCAGAGAATTGTGTGTTTGTAAGTTGTGCATATGGACAGGAGCAACCAATCTTCACTGATTGGCAAGGGAGAGTTTGTTGTGGTTATCTGAATGAAAATGAAAAAGATGTTGATATTAGAATTGTTGATCCGGAGACGGGTAAAGAGAATGAAGAATCTGATAGAGAAGGGGAAATTTGGATTTGTAGTTTGAGTTCAGGGGTTGGTTATTGGGGTTTACAGGAGTTGAGTGAAACAACTTTCAGAAACAAGTTAGACAATCATCCTGAGAAGCTCTATCTGAGAACTGGAGATCTGGGAAGAGTTATAGATGGAAAGTTATTCATCACTGGAAGAATAAAAGATCTCATTATAATTGCAGGGCGAAATATATACTGCTCAGATGTGGAAAAAACAGTTGAAAGCTCATCTAAAGTCTTACGTCCTGGCTGCATTGCTGCGGTTTCTGTTCCAGTTGAGATCTTACTATCTAAGGGATTTCTTGTTCCTGATGCTTCAGACCAGTTTGGTTTGGTTGTGATCGCAGAAGTTCGAGATAGTAACAGTTTTTCTGAAGAAGTAATTCAGCAGATTGAGACCCGTGTGACTGAGGAACATGGTGTGATTGTCTCTTCAACTGTTCTTATCAAACCAAGGTCAATCCCGAAAACTACATCAGGAAAGATAAAGAGATTTGAGTGTGCCAAGAAGTTTATTGATGGGACATTAGATGTAATAGATGAGCCTGTTAAAAAGGCAGGATCGTCTATATTCTCCACAAGGAATTCATCAAAACCTCAAATAACAAAGTCTCCACCTTCTGGAAATGAAAATATCAGTAAGAAGGACATAACTGAATTTCTGAAGCAGTTGTTATCTGAGCAGACTGGAATTTCGGTTGCTGAAATCTCCACAACTGAAAGTCTGGTATCTTATGGTGTTGATTCCATTGGGGTGGTTCGAGCAGCTCAAAGACTTTCTGCTTTTCTTGGAGTTCCAGTTGGTGCAATTGATATCTTTACTGCAACTTGCATTGATGATTTGGCAAACTTTGCTGAAAGTCTTCTATTCAAGTCCCTTCATCAATCAACTTCTTCTTCCACTGAATTCAAACACAAACAAATGAGCTCAGCCAAAGTGGTTACCCAAGCTTCAATCTCCCAAAAGCTGGCTATCTGGCTAGCTCAGCTTATTGGTCTAGCTTATGTTTGCTTCTTGCTGACAGTTCCAGCTTATATATCCATTCGAATGTTCACATTTGCGGTTTCCTTGATCCAAAGAACTTCCTGGATAGGTTGCTTGAGTTCCATCGCTTTTGCTCCTATTTGTTGGGTGTTCTGCATGGCATCCACTTGCTTTTCCATTGGTCTCTTGGGGAATTCTTTTCTGCAGCCAAACTATGGCTTGTATCCAGAAATTTCAGTTTGGTCAATCGGATTTGTCAAATGGTGGTCACTTTACAAGGCTCAAGAAGTTGCATCGAAAGTCCTGGCCGTGCATTTGAGGGGGACGGTATTCCTAAACTATTGGTTCATGATGCTAGGAGCTAAGATTGGAACATCTGTTGTCCTCGATACCATTGACATAACAGACCCCTACTTGGTCGCTATTGGCGAGGGAGCTGTTATTGCAGAAGGCGCGCTGCTCAAAAGCACTGAAGTGAAAAATGGAACCCTGCAACTTTCTCCAATCCAAATAGGTCGAAAATCTTCTCTTGGTCCATGTGCAGTAATTCAGAAGGGGAGTATCATCGAAGACGGTGCTGAAGTTCTTCCATTGCAAAGATTTGGACCACGAACAAGTGACAGTAAGCATGCTAGTCTCAGTATTAGTCAAAAGGTAAGAAAATACACAGTACACAATTCTACATCATTCTTTTTAAAATTACTGGATAATCTCCTTAAAGTTATTATCATTGCTCATCTTTATATATGAAAAGTTCATATCAAAATTTCCTCTTCTCTTCATTCAGATGACATTTGACTCTAAGTTAGATGGTTAGGGCCACTCCAAATCATGTGTTCAATACTTCATTGTGCTTGAATGACTCCTATGAATTTATACTTGGAATGATGTTCTTCTTAATCTATGAAACTTTGATTAATCTTCCTTGTAATTTAACATTTTCCAAGCACTGTTTTCTGGAATTTCTCTCTTCTTATTTACCTTTTATGTGTGGCTATCAATTATGAAACTCTATATAATTATATATGTCAATCTTATAAATGAAAATGAATCTATTATTGGTGTTCTAGTATTTCCCTTTCTGGTCATCTATACTATGATCCTCGTGTTGCCACACACTGATATTGTGAAAGTAAGTTAGCTTAATAGGGTATTTGGTGCTGTAACTAAACAAATTCAATCCATCAAACACTAAATTTGCTGCACTTAAAAATCATTTTGAAAAGATGTCTTTGATTTGGAATCTTTGGATCTTTGTTGACACAAGGATATGAGAACAATAATTGTATAGGAAAAACTGACCTTCTCGTGTTTCTCTGAAATTTTCCAGGGCCAGGTGATGAAACAAAGCATAAAAGATCCTACAGGAACTATGTCCTACATCCAGTTCTTTGGTATCTATATGGTTGGTTGTCTTAGCACTTTGTCAGCAGTCATTACCTATTTAATCTACATTTGGTTGTCCCAAAAGAATCTTTCACTCCAAGAATTCGGGTTCATCTGCATTGTTGGAGCGTTTCATTGGTTGCCATATACATTTGTGGCATATTCAGCTTTTTTCAGTACAGGCCATTCAAGTCCTATAAGCTTTGCCTTCATGGTTGCCGCGGGTTATGTAGCTCATGGCATTATCTTCAGCATATGGACTTGTCTTTTGAGCTCTTATCTTCGCAGAAAAGGAGTACTGAAGCAAAAACATCTGGAACTCTGGTTTTCACATAGACTGAGAGTTGCTTGCCATGTGAGATTTACCAAGTTCATCACAGGAACTGAGGCTTTCGTGATCTATTTACGTTGTTTAGGAGCAAAAATCGGTCACAGCTGTTCTATTAGAGCTATCAATCCTGTTTTAGATCCAGAGTTGATCACAATCGGGAATGGTGTGCATTTAGGCGACTTCAGCCGGATCGTCCCTGGATATTACAACCAAGATGGTTATACTAGAGGAGAGTGTGAAATACAAGACAATTCTGTTTTGGGGAGTCAAAGCCTCATCTTACCTGGTTCTATCATTGAAAAGGATGTCATTTTAGGTGCAATTTCCATTGCCCCCATGAGTGCTGTTTTACGGAGTGGTGGGGTATATGTCGGCTCACAGGCTCCGGTCATGGTCAAAAACATTGCATACTCACTTGATGACAGGATAGAAGAAATGGACATGAAATATAAGAAGGTATTGGGAAATCTTGCTGCAAATTTAGCTGCAACCACCCTCAAGGTGAACTCCAGATACTTCCACCGGATTGGTGTTGCAGGAAAAGGATCTCTCAAACTCTACGACAACATTCCAGGCTTGCCAGAACACAAGATATTCCATCCTGGAAATATCTATCCCATCATTATCCGCCACAGCAATTGCTTAAGCTCAGACGATGATGCTAGACTTGATCCACGCGGTGCAGCGTTAAGGATTCTGTCAAATGAAACAGATAAAGCATCCCCATTACTGGATTTGACACTTAAGACGGGCAATGCATTCCATGCTCGTACGATCGGCGATTTTGCTACATGGTTAGTCTGTGGAGCTGCTGCAAGAGAAGAGCATGTCAAGAATGCTCCTCATATTCGGGATGCAATGTGGGGATCACTTCGACGAGCAAACTCTTATGCAGAATTGCATTACTATTCAAACTTCAGCAGAATGTTCAGGTTTGAGGATGGAAAAGAAATGTATGTCAAATTCAAGTTGAGACCCTTTGATGAGAAGATTGATGAGGATTCTGGCAGGGTGGAGCCTTCAGGTATACTCCCACCCGAAACTGGTGCAATTCCAAGAGACCAAGATGATAATCGGCCGTTACTGTTTCTAGCTGAAGATTTCCTGCGCCGTGTGAATTCTCCTGAGAAGGTACGTTTCATTTTGCAGTTGCAAATCCGACCAGTTCCTCAGGAAGAAAGAATATCCGAGGAGGCACTCGATATCACAAAGCCTTGGGATCAAAGTGAATACCCATACGTGGACATTGGTGAAGTGATCATTGATGAAATGCTCAGCAAAGAAGAATCAGAATGCTTGGAGTTCAATCCCTTTCTGCGATGTCGCGAAGTGGATGTTATCAGGGCAACATCTTGTAACCAAAGTGCTTCCATGGATCACGGCCGTTCAATAGTCTATGAAATATGCCAACATCTGAGAAACAAGAAGCCACTTCCAGAGGCATGGAAGATTTTCCTAGACCAATCCGACGTGAAACTGGATCTCTCTGGTTGTCCTATGGCTTCTAGGTTGAGGTATATCAACTCATCCAGAGTAACATTAGCAAGAAACTGGTACATGACTTTGTGGCTTATGTTTGTCCAGCCCCTGTTGCAGACTTTCCTGCCGTATTTTCTGATGATAGCGGCGATTATTATTCCATATAATTTCATCCAATGCAGAATCAACATTGAGAAAATCTGGTTGCTACCATTTCTATGGCTTCTATCTGGGATTTTAGCTGCTGGTTTATGTGTTCTAACCAAATGGATCTTGGTAGGGAAAAAGCATGATGGGGAAACTGAGTATATTTGGAGTCCATCAATTTTTATGGACACTGCGTGGCAAGCTACTAGGACTTTGGCTGGGGATTATTTCTTAGGTATGTCAAGTGGATCATTCCTGTTTGGGGTTTTGATGAAATGTTTAGGTTCAGAAGTTGCTTGGGATCAAGGAGTTTATGTAGACAGCTTAGAAGCTTTACTGAACCCTGAAATGATAAAGATTGAACAACATGGGTGCATTGAAAAGGATGCTTTGCTCTTTGGGCACATATATGAAGGCGAAGAAGGCAGAGTCAAATACGGAAAAATAGAAATTGAAGAAGGTGGATTTGTAGGATGTAGAGCTATAGCCATGCCTGGGGTGACAGTAAAAAGTGGGGGGAATCTTGCTGCTCTATCTCTAGCCATGAAAGGAGAAACCGTCATGTAAAAAACGTTAAACTTCGATGCTTATCTTAAAATGATTGTCTAGTTTGGGACGGAAGGTGGATTTGGTTTACATTTCATCTTTAGTATAAATCCCTAATTGATATTACACTGTATGATAAATAAATCTCTTTCCCGAAATTGAACTATGTTTAAATTAGGAACTTGATTTCTTGCACACAACTAAGGGAGGTTACATATTTTGCATATGCTCTAGTGATGATCAACTTGGAGAATACCTATCAAAAAATTGAACAATTTAACAAAACTATATGCCTAGTCTAAAAACAAACACAGGACTATGAAAATCAAGAAACTGGCTTTCTTCCAAGGTTTGTACAAATATGTTTTCTTTCGGTTCCTCGTTTACTCCACTTTGGGTGGCATAATCCAGAGCCATTTCATAGTCCACCTGAAAACATGGGTTTGAAGTTATTGTCATAAAAACAAGAAACTGAATGCATCTACACATGTTATGAGAACTTTCCAAATATTTTCCAAATTGTGTAATCAAGAAATTAGGTGAGGTTACCCGTTCGACATGCCGAGCAAGCTTTTCCCGTAGTGTTTGATCTGTCACGGCCTTTACTGATACATTCTTTAGCAATTCTGCATCCTCACCAGTGTAGCGAGTCCTCTTAGCGGCATGTGCTGACATCTCTTTCAGAACATCATATAAAGCGCTTGTGACATCAGGTATATACCTGTAACCAATGTAAGTACATTTTTCCGAGTATATATTATTTACTTCTCAACTATGACTGGCTTAATGTGACAGTTTACAAAAACATAAAATAGTGACTAACCTGGTCAAATTTCGTTTTCTCTCCTGCTGCTCTCGAGCTTGAATTTTTTTGACAATTTTGAACTTCAATTGGGAACAGCATTGCTGAATAGATGTCTGTTTCATGAAATTGTAAGAGGCCAGAAACTCATCTTTACTGTCAAAAGACTTGGTACCACATAAAGCATACCTTAACAGTGGCAGCTATCTCGCTTATGTCATCTCCAATGTATTCCTTCCCAGTACCTTTGAAAGGTATCTTTGTGCTGACAATACTCACAAATACACCAATCTTATCCTGAATCTGGTTGATTTTGTAGGTATTCCAACTGCAAACACAGGTATAGAAAATTATGGAAATTCTTTTGTCCCTCCATTTCTCCCAAGTACAAATGAGATAACAAGAATCCAAACTTAAAGGTTCCATATGCGACATAACATTCCAAGAAAAGTTGTTAAAATTTTGCATCTCACTTGATTCTCTTCAAAGCAGTTCGAGTGACAACATCAGCACCTTGCTCAAACAAAAGTGGTATCCGATTGGCAAATCGAAAAATGTTTACACCCTAAAATCGTAAAGATCACATGACCAATCAGCACAGTAAATAAAAATCATGTTCACCTTAGCATTAACAAGATTTTCTATAACACAAAAAGATCCATCATCTCACATAAAAAGTAGTACTACTTGAATCATATAAGAACAACATCCATAATAGAAGAAGGTAACTTGTTAATAAGTTGGCAAAAAAAAAGTAAACCGTGAATTCCGAGAGTAACATGAGAAGCGAAATGATAGATACTATAGCAGGGCAAACCAGTTAAGAGACCGAAAGGCATAGGTATTTTCTCGTAAAGACCATTTGTTCATTATTCAGATCAGCTGAATCAGTAACATTAAGAGTCATGGAGCAGTAACTAACATGAACACCATCAAAGTGATTGTGTTTCATTCTTTGTTTAGTTTGTCCAAGTCACGAAGTGAGGTGCTGCCTAAAGTATGATGGAAAAACAAGACTGTCAAGAATATTTGGTCACAGTGCAACATGGATTGCTCATACAAGGAATGATCAATGCTGACATGAGTTCTTCCAATGTATCAACATTCACCACTCTTAGAAGGTTCACCAAAAGAAATCAGATATCTGATTCAGGAATAATTAATTTCCACTCAACTGAACCAAACATTAGAATGAATCAAAAGGAAGAACACCAAAGATTTTAGATGTGCTTGATAAACCACCAAATTGTTCACCATGCTCTGTAATCTAACCCAATCATCATGGCGGAAGTGCAACAAATAAGTTGTCAAGTCTAATCTAAGATCCCAAACAACATAACTTTCCTTGTTCAATCTATCCCTGAAAGAATCAATCAGCATACATCAATGTGTATTTTTTTAGCAAAAATAGGGCTCTTCATCATCGTTTTTGTCATGTTAAAGTCCATGTAGGACATAAATCACTCACAACCTCAAACTCATACTCAAGGAAGAGCACATACTAAACGTTACACAAACAACAAAGGGGAATCTAATTATACCATTGTTAGAAAGAGGATAACTTACTAGTTTGACATCTTTTCCACCTATACTAACTCCAGCTTCCACTATGAAAGGGTGGCCTTCAAATACTTGAGCACTGTCAAAGCACATGGTATATATTAGTGTTGGAAGGTACATAAAAACATTTCAACAAGTAAAGAGCAGTTTTGAAACAACCTTCCTGAATAAGTTGCAACCATATCTGGATGCAACTCTTTTATAATTCCTAGGCGTAGATTATATTCCCCTGCAGGACTAAGACACTACAAAATGCTCAACAGCTAGCATAGAAATCCCATTGTCATGACCACAATCTAGAAAGTTGCATTCTTTATTAAATTGATAAACTTACATCACCGCTCGGGTCATCAAACTTGGCTTGACGAAATAATTGATGCATGCGAACTATTTGCTGTGATGTTAGAGATTTTACCAGCATTTTAGGACTGAAATCTGGTCCCATTTCCCCTAAAATACGAAATCTCAATGCATCAACATTTTCTTTTCCATTATGGAATGATACTAATAAGTTATAAGACATTCAATCACAGAAAAGAGAAAAGCAAAAGCAAAAGCAATGAGCAATTGTCTAACATTTCAGTAATATGTATGAAGGCAAAATGACTCGTTAATATGAGTCACACTTGAAAGCTGCAAGGGAGCTAAGATGTATAAGTGTTGCAATGATGATGGAACATCTATAGCTATTTTGGGAAGCAGCATTGCTAACAGTGGTTTTCCTTAACCGGCAAATTAAAGACCATGAACAAAGGGTGCACAAAGAAAGACACGACAACCCCCGCCCCTTCCCCGAAAAGAAAAAATAATAATAAAAAAGACACAACACACACTTTTGACATATGCAACAGGATAATAATCGATTTGCAAGCTACAAACTTAATATCACGATAATATGTTGCACAGATTGAAAAATACTTAAAATCTTTTTTTTGAATTTCTGTTTCAAACAGTTAAGAAGCAATTGAGTGTTTCTCACCAATCAGGCGCTCAGCGTGAGACTTGGAAATGTTTACAAATTCATGCTGAAGGAACTGTAAGAGATTTTGCTTTGAGGTTTCAGCAATAAGACGCTTGATCAAAAGCAAATCAACAGCAGATGGATGGTACTTCGTCTCATGGGGAATTGGTGGCATTATGTCAGTTCTTCTGGTGAACCTCACCGTTGCATTTTTACTACAAAAAGTCATGACATGAGAAAAGTAGTAGCTGAAGATGCAATAGACCAAGTAGAAGGATACCAAAATTGTGACTAGCCACAGAAGGGAGGGAAAGAGAGACTACTCTGGTGTATCTGATAAGAATCTGAAAAGAAACTCAGCATATGGTGTGATAACAGCCATTTGACGCATGTAATGTAAAATCTTGGACTGCGAAAAACGGAAAACAGATTTAGTAAACCAACAAGTTTCCATTGCCAAATTCTAGCAAAGGGAACTTCTGATCAGTAATATGTACCCGATACGTTGTCCAATTTCCCTCGATGACTATCTGGATTTCAGCTCCATGCCATTGTTCCTTGTTGTCACGCTTTTCATGTACATGAATGTGAGGAATGTTCCTGGAGGAAAAGCATTCATAATACCATGAACTCCAGAGCAACAACCAAAGAATGATGATGGATAGCCAGAGAATATTAAGGTAGATTTTGCACCTGTGGATATCTATGTCTAGCTTGCAGAATGTAGAATAAGTTTGCCCTTTCATTGAGGATGAGATTTCAATTGGAAGCCCTGTACTCATCTTGGACCAAATAAGAGCCTGAAAAGCAAATACATCAGAATCTATATAGCATTTACTAGTGTAGCTAAATATCTTAGACAAAACATGGTAATGAACTGATTGGGAAAAAAAAAAAAAAAGGCGCACCATCTTTGCACCTAGACCAAATTTCCCACGTGTCTGCTTTAACCCATACTTAGTCCCAGACAAAACTGCATCAGTAAATGGACTTATGGAAATCAATTATGCTGGCATTATTGTATCTCTTTCTGCAATATCTAATCTTATGCCACTGGCTAGAGGTAACAATAAACCAATGAATATACGTACAGACATCAGCACACAGACAAAAAAATTAACAGGATATAAATTAGTATTTCCAAACCTCGTCCAAACATATTGGGGATATCATCATGGGGCATCCCTCTCCCATTATCCTGTAACATACAACTCATGTTCAGAGGTAACTTCCACACATGAATGGACTATACCTACAACTGCAAAAATTGAAGTAAAAGAACACAGCACTGTTAATATTACCTTGCAAGTTACCCTGTAATATGAGGCTTCACCACGACCCTTGATGGCCTTGGTAGTCAGTGGCTCCTTAGATTTCTTCCCCATACTAGCATTTTTGGCCTGGATTTCCTGAATGCGAGCTTCCTTGGCAAGCCTTTTCTGAAAACCAAGATGGTCACAACATCATTTCTGTTGTAATGAAGACATACTTCAATATATGTATGCCATACATTGTCCATATAATCTTCTCAAGGACAAACTCACAAATTACTTTAATAGCAGTTTCAGTAGAATGAAACCACCTCAAGTATTATTGTCGAGAAAGTGTACACACCTCACGAGCTTTAGCGGATTCAAAATCATCGTACAACTCTGCATCAACTCGTTCGTGATTTGCAAGGCCAATCATGGAATTAAACTTGTTTCTTCCTATTTCTTCACTGTGATGTTAAAGGAACACAAAGATTATTTGCCATACAACAAAAGCTCTGCAAAGCAAACTATTAGATCAAGAAATAAGCTTACATTGTGATTTCAACCATGGGAAGCTTTGAGATTGACTCTGCAGAATCAAGGGCATTTTCAACAAGCTCCCGAACCGTTGTGTATAAACACTTTCCTGGCTGCAAAAAAGATGAAGAAAACCGTATTTTCAATAAGCTTCAATGCAGCAAGGAGCCCAAAAAGAGATGGTTTTTATGCCCTCCGGAACAGATTAAGAAGACACCCACTACACATTCATCAAACTACTCTCTAACGACAAGTTGAGCTTTGTTCCAAAATGAGTATCCAATTAAGACCGAACGAACTCAGATAAATGCACGATCACATTCTCTAGCCTAGTTTTCAGATATAAAATTGTAAATCAAACTTACATTGTCAAATCCGGCAATATTCTTATTATCTGCAAAGAACTCAGCTGGAGATTCTGAATACATAAAAAACAAACACCAATATTATTCCAGATAAAGTCATCTGCTGGTTCCTCATTACAATTCGTTATCAAAAACAACATTACTGATCAATCACGCACACACACACACACACACAGGCAGAAACAATTCAACTTACTCTGCTTGAGCACACTATCCTTAGGTTTTCTGGGATTTTTCGGTTTCGATTTCTTGGATGATTCCACCGGACTAGGGTTGCTTTCTTCCGAATCCATTACAATTACTGCAAAAAATTCAGCTGTAATTGAGCAATGGATTAATGGAATTGATACGCCCAAATTCTCCCTTTCACTTTCGGCTTTTATGTTCTTCCCAGTTCCCCTTAACCTTTGCATTTCAAAAGGAAAAAATTGGGGGGTAAAGGATATTATTATGCTTAAAGGGCCGTGTTGAAATTTTTGTAGGTTTAGGCCCGACTGTCGAGACTTTTTTGAAGGGTGAAAATCTGGGCCCGATCCGAAATCTTGCCAGGCTCCGCGTTTTTCTGGAGACACTATGGACTATGGACTATGGATTCTTTTTCTTTTTCTTTTTTGATGAAAACACCTATAGTATCAAATTTCTGTAACATTTTCCAACTTTTTCCCTTCTCTCTCAAAGAAAAAACTCTCTCAAATTTTTCTCTCCTTCTCCCCTATCCTCCAGATAGGGGATCTCATAAATTTTAATTTTCTTTCTTTTTTTACTATTTGGTATGCTCTTCCTTTATGGAAGTTTTAGCTCCCCCATTATTGGTGGGTTTTGCTCTTCCTTCATAGAAGTCCGGATGTCTCATTTTGAGACTTTCGATTCTCCTTTTGGGGCTATTTTTTTCTTTTGTGTGTGGTGTGTTAGTTTTCAACAGATCTGAAGATGACGAAGGAGATCTATGGTTCATTGAAGAAGACAATGATGAACATATGGTTTAAAGGGTAGCAAATGACTGGAAGACTTTAGATCTGAGACTTCTAGGGATTATAGATCTGAGTTTCAGAGCCAGATCTGCAGTTTTAGTCTTATTAGATCATAGTTAAAGTTCATTTGTTAGAATGTTGGTTCTCTTTGTATTTTCTTCTTGTGCTATGTCCTTCCTGTATTCAGTGATGTTGGTTAAGTATTACCAAATTAGCTTAGCCTAGCTATGCACATAGACTTGAGTTTAACTTTTGTTCTGTAGTTAGGTATAATGTGAATGGTAGACTGTTTTAGCTCAACTGTAGGTTGTTGTATTCTCAACTCTTGTGGTTGATTACATTTGATTTTCTTTTATAAAATGATTATCGCTTTTGACCAAAAAAAAAAAAAAAAATCAAATTCCTGTAACGTTTATGGAAGGTTTTGTATTTACAAAACTGGAAATGAGCTCACCGTCATGGGAATAGTAACAGATCTTGCTGGAAAGTACAAATACGGAGCAAGCTCTGGGGAATATGAGAGAAACAAGGATCACATAAATCTTATCACTTTTTAAATGACAATTCTAGAACACGTGACTTAGATATTTATAGCTAAAAGACAAAAGAATCAAACGGATTCAACAAAACCCGCCGACCCAACCCGCGACTGCATGTGGGCATTAACTGCTGAACTTCCGCGCCAAGCTACTGATTTGAATTTTTAAAATTTGAGCCATCGACTTAAAACAGTCAGGCATCACAACTCCCCATCCCTTCAAACAGTGCTTGTCCTCAAGCATAAAATCAAGCTTGAAACTCTAGAAACTGGCCTTTAATGAAGCTAATATCCTCCCAAGAAGCATCTTAAACATCCAGACCTCTCCACTTAATCATCCATTGAACTATTTGTTGATTTTTCCGCCAAATATACCTCCTTCGCAACACTTGTTCTGGCTCCAATTCACAAGACTGGGGATCCACCAAATCAGGTAGCATAGTGATGGTAGTAGGAGCTGGTCCATTGTGTTTTTTACGCAATGAAACATGGAATATAGGATGGACTTTTGAACCCTGGGGAAGCTCAAGTTTGTAAGCAACACTGCCTATCTTTTCCAGGATTTTGAAAGGGCCAAAGTACTTGTATTTCAGCTTAAGGCAACTCCTGTAAACCAAAGTCTGTTGTCAATAAGGTTGCAGTTTGAGATAAACCAATTCTCCCACTTGGAAACTCCTCTCGGCCCTAAGTTGATCAGCATAACCTTTTATTCTCTCCTGTGCTTTCTTCAAACTTTCTTTCAACTTCTCAGTGACTGTTTGTTGCTGTTGATACAAATCAGCTGCTGCTGGGATGGCTATATCATGGTAAGTCCCAAGAGGTATTCCCACGGGTAGAGTTCCATACAAGGCCTGGTAAGGAGTCATCTCAGCACTGGAATGGAATGTTGTATTGTACCACCATTCAGCCAAAGCAACCCACTGTGGCCAAGTGTTTGGAGGTGAATGACAGAAACTCCTCAAATAACTTTCTATACACTGATTGACTCTCTCTGTCTGTCCATCAGATTGTGCATGATAAGCTGTACTCATGTTCAACTTAACTCTAATAGCCTTAAACAAAGCTTGCCAAAAATGACTAGTAAAGATTTTGTCTCTATCAATGACAATAGAATCCGGCAAACCATGAAGTCTATATACCTCTTTTAAGAACTTCTCAGCAACTTCTTTGGCAGTGAAGGATGTTTGAGAGGTATGAAATAGCCATACTTAATCAACCAATCCACCACCACCATCAAACAATCAAACCCTTCAGTTGAAACAGGTAATTTCTCAATAAAATCCATGGAGATACCTTGCCAAGCTTTCTGAGGAATTGGCTGTGGTTGTAACAATCCAGGGTAATGAACATGCTCCACTTTACTGGCTTGATAAACAACACATTGCCTAACAAACTCTTCAACCTCTTGTTTCATATTCTTCCCAGTGAATAAACTTTTAATCTCTGATATGTAGCTTTTTGCCAGAGTGACCACCTAGAGAAGAAGAATGAAAAGATTCTAGTAAGAGCTTCCTGATACCACTTTGATTTCCCATCACTATCTTTCCATGAAACTTCAACAGACCTCCTACATAGATCAGTTGGGGATTATTAACAGTCCAAGGTAGCACCAAGAATCATTCCTGAACTCCTCATCTCCTTCACAGCTACTGGCCAACTGCTGTAACCAAACGGGTTGAACTGTAGTAAGAGCACACATATGATCATTAGAATTTTCCAGATTCATTGATAGGGCATCAGCAGCTAGATTCTCTCTTCCTTTCTTATGCTAAATTTCATAATCCATTCCCAGCATTTTGACCAACCATTTCTGTTGCAAGGGAGTAGTAATTTTCTGTTCCAGCAAATATTTAAGAGCTTGATGATCAGTTTTAATGATGAAGTGGTTTCCCTGCAAATAATGCTTCCATTTAGTTATGGCCATAACCAGAGCTCAAATTCCTTCTCAAAAGTTGACAAGGTTTTGTTCTTCTCACTAAAAGCTTAGATAAGCAATTGGTTGCCCTTTTTGCATCAAAACTGCTCCCATGCCATCTGCACAAGCATATGTTTCCACAACAAAATCTTGTGTGAAATCAGGTAGTTATAAAACAGGTGCAGTAGTAAGAACCTGCTTGAGCTGATGAAAAGCCACTTCAGTCTTTCCATCCCACTTAAACTCTCCCTTTTCAATAACAGTGTAAGAGGCTTACTTATCAAGCCAAAACCTCTAATAAATCTTCTATAGTATCCTGCCAAACCAAGAAAACCTCTCAATTCCTTAACAGTCTTGGGAATAGGCCAATCCACAATACCTTTGATCTTAGTAGGATCCATATGTACTCCTTTAGCTGAAATTACATGACCTAAATATTCCATTGGTGTTTGAGCAAATGAACATTTAGACCTCTTAGCATACAGCTAATTATCCACCAGACCCTCTAATACTTGTGCTAGATGAACCACATGATCCTTCAAGTTAACACTGTAAACCAAGATGTCATCAAAGAAAACCAGCACAAATTTTCTGATGTAAGGTTTAAAGACCTTATTCATGAGGTTTTGAAAGGTAGCAGGAGCATTTGTAAGCCCAAATAGCATTACCAAAACTCAAAATGCCCATGATGAGTCTGAAAAGCAGTTTTTGGAATGTCTTCCTTGTAAACCCTGATTTGATGATAGCCTGATCTTAAATCAATCTTGGAGAAGTACTGTGATCCACATAATTCATCCAACAGTTCCTCAATCACAAGAATAAGATACCTGTTTTTAATTGTCAATGCATTTAGTTGCCTGTAATCAGTGCACATCCTCCAAGTGTCATCCTTCTTTTTAGTCAACAACACAGAAGAAGCATAGGGACTTTCACTTTCTCTTGCAGTGCCTTTCTTCAACAGTTCCTCCACCTGAGATTCAATTTCATTTTTATGAGCATGAGGGAACCTGTATGGTCTCAATTTGAAGGGTTCAACTCCTGTTTTCATAACAATATGGTGATCTACAGACCTCTCTGGTGGTAATGCAGTAGGTTCATCAAACATTGCTTGATATTTATCCAAAACCTCTTCAATTTCTTTAGGAATCTCCACTTCTTCCAGGCAAGCCATCACAGTCACAGGTTGCTTATTCTTCTTTTCATCTTCACACCACTTCACTCTTTTGTCAGAAAATGAGAATTGAACCACTGGTCTAGCTCTCTTAGGTTGAGCTTGTCTGAGTACACCTTGGATCTCTTCCTCTGCTGCTAGAAAATGCCCTTGGATCATGAACCTTCTTCCTTGCCAAGATAATTCAATGCAACACCTGTCATAGTCAAACAGTATTGGACTAAAATGAGACATCCAATCTGTTCCCAAGATCATTCCCCAATTACTCAAATTCATGATTCTGAAATCAAATTGGAAATGGTACTTTTAGATAGTCCACTTAGCAGAAGGACACATTACATTATTTCTTATTTGATTACCATCAACCACTTTAACATAATATGGCTTAACAATCTTCCTAGTCAATCCCAATTTCTGTGCTAATGCATTATCAACAAAACTTCTTACTGCTCCAGTGTCAATCAGAATTTTAATCAACTTATTATTGATATACCCCAAGACCACTATCAGTCTAGACTGTCATATATTGATCCCAGAAATAGATAGCTTGAACTTGTATTTCAGGAGCATTATCCAACTCATCACTCAGCCAATTTACCTGTTCCAGATCAACATCATCATCCACAATAATCAAATGAACATGTTCCATTTTACACACATGACCAGGTCCCCAAGTACCATTACATTTCCAACAAAGATTGTTTACTTTCCTGTATTCCTTTTCCTCAGGTGACAATCTCTTATAAACAGGTTTATCATTCCTCCTTATTCCCTGAGCAACTACCTTACCACCAGCATTGGAGGTTTTAATAACTGGTGGAATGTATACCTTAGGTTTTGGAACTAAGGCTAAGGTAGATTCCTGAGTTTTAGCTGCTTCAAATGCTCTTTGTACTGTTCTTGGCTCAGCAAATCTCACAAAAGGTTTAAACTCCTCTTTGAGTCCACTTATGAAACTGGAAATAAAGTAAGACTCGCTCAATCTCGGATCAACACACAATACTCTAGATTTCAGCTCCTCAAATTGATCATAATACTCTTTCACAGATCCTTTCTGACTGAGCTTATAAAACTCTTCTATAGGATCCTCATTCCCTTCATCTTTAAACCTTTTAAGCAATTCTGCCTCAAACAGTAGCCAATCAGCATTAGGATGCACTACCTTAAATCCTTGATACTAAACATCAGCAATTCCATCCAGATAAAATTCTATTGCATCAAACTTTTCATCCTCATTCATTTCATATATGCGAAAATATTTTTGGCACTTCTGCAACCAACTTCTAGTATTTTCTCCAACAAAAACAGGCAGATCAAGTTTAGGCTTAGGTTTCCACTTCTTATTATGTTATTCTTTCCAAATTCCTGATTATCACTAACCTCTTCTCCCCGAGTCTTTTGCACAAAATTACGACAACAATTCACAGAATTCTCAACTCTTTTTCCCATTTTACACTGGAAATTGAAGGAGATAAGTTATTAATAGTGTTCTTACCCACACAGCTGGGAGAATCTTGGAGGAGCTCTCTCGATCTTTCAATCTATGAGATTCGAGCTTCTAGTGCATCAAATCTCTTCCCAAGCCAGTCATCTATGTGAAACGGTAGCTCTGCCTTGAATTTTGCATCATCACTTTTGAATTGTTGCAGATTTGCATTCATTTCTTTCATTTGTTCCATCAGCACCGCCATTGTCACCTGATCACCGGAATCCACCGCATTTGTAACTCGTTTGGACGCCATTTACCTCACAGATCCGAGAATCTGGAAGCTCTGGATACCAAATGTAACGTTTATGGAAGGTTTTGTATTTATAAAACTGGAAATGAGCTCACCATCACCGGAATAGTGAGGGATCTTGCCGGAAAGTACAAATACGGAGCAAGCTCCGGGGAATATGAGAGAAACAAGAATCACACAAATCTTATCACTTTTCTAATGATAATTCTAGAACACACGACTTAGATATTAATAGCTAAAAGACAAAAGAATTAAACGGATTCAACAAAACCCGTCGACCCGACCCGTGACTGCATGTGGCCATTTACTGTTGAACTTTCGCGCCAAGCTACTGATTTGAATTTTTAAAATTTGATCCACCGACTTAAAACAGGCGGGCATCACAATTCCAAACATAAAATTACGGGTCTGTTCGATAACACCATTTATTACTTAATTTTATTAAGCACTTTTCGATTTCAACATGTTTGATAATAGAAACTGAACCTCTTAATGAATTAAGTTGTGTTGTAATTGCAATATAAAATATAAGCAATAAAAGTTAAATTATTGCTTATTTCGTAACTGTTTAATGAATTCAATATTTCTAATTTATTATTAAGAATTCATAAGTAAATACTAAATTTTATCAAACAAGCCCTAACCTTACAAAGCCAACGTGATGGTTGTCTTTGCCATTCAAATAGACAGGGTGTTTCACTTTTAGTATGAATTGTATTAAAATGAAAATGCAAGCATGATAATATCATTTTAGGAAGAAGGAAATGGATTTTCTTTTCCCACTTAAACCCAAAAATTGAAACAAAATCTGACGTTATCCCGCCCATCTCCACTTATAATTTGAGTAAGGCACCTATCATTACTCTATAATTTAAATGAACTGTTAAACTTTAACTCCTTTTTATGTTTGTTTCGTTTTTTTAGTATGTGTTTTAGATATTTTTTGCATTGATAATGTAAAAAAAGTGTATTGAAAATATCAAAAAGTATATTTGGATTGAACAGTTATTATTATATTATTCTAAAAAGGCCATAAAAAAAGGAAACAAACATGGAGTTTTTCTCACAAGAGAATCATTACATATATTAAAAGAAATAAACATAATCGACACGTGTCGCTCATTGAGACCATCAAGTCTCAATTAACACGTGTCATTTGCTAATTAGTTGATCATTAATCAGTTAAAATTTTTTGTAAACAGTTAATAAATTATTTACTACTCCCTCCGTCCCACAAAAATAATCCAATTTAATAAAAAATCGTGTCCTAAAAAAATAGTCCAGTTTAACAAAACTCAAAATTCATTGAATTGAAATGACTTAAATATCCAAAAGAGTAGTGGTATGAAAAAGAAGGTCCACTTCCTTTGATTTTCATTTTTTTTTAGTTTTCTCTTACTTTTCAAATGATTATATCTTTTAATACATGAATAATTAAAAAATATATTATATATCAAATTAATCTACGTAACGAGATCTTTCCATCAAGATCCGTTGTTAATAATTTTTGAGATAAAAATTTTGATCAAATTTAAGTTGTAAAATAAATGCATATGTACTTAACTTTTATAGAAATAACTAGAAGGGGCATTAGTGGAAGTTAGAGGGAATGAAATGAGTTGTACAATTGGTATGTTGACCAAATTAAAAAAGTTGTACAGTTTTAAACTGGACTATTTTTGTGGGACGGAGGGAGTATATAAGATTTTTACAGATATTACAAATTTCTGATTGTGAGCTTGAAAATGAATATTTTTGAAAATTACTGAGAAACTCCCGACTTCAAAAGTCCTTTCATTTACGAGTTTAAACTTTCAACCTATTATCATTTTGGCCCTTAAAGTTCCATTTGTGTGCTATTTAGTTTCAAGGTTATCGATTTTACATTTTCAAGGACGATTAATTGTGTCTCATATTTTATTAGAACTACATCTAATCCCTAAAGTCCACTTGCTTATAAAAATAAGCCATATGCATCTAGACATAATTTACGCATTTTTTAAATATATTTTTAAACCAAACATAACATTATTTAGTGATGACAATTTTTATTATACAACTTTTGAAAATCTTTTTTGTAATATTTTTTACCAGATCTTACAAATATACCTCTCATAAATAATATCAATACCTCTCATTTTGATCTAAAACTGATTAATAAAAAAATATTACAGTTTTAAGAAATATTAGTAACTATATTTTTTTAAGAGAATAAAAATGATATATTTGTAACTACATTATCTAATCAATTATTTTAAAATATAAATTTTCAACATACAAAGCCCTGCAAAACGCGGGACACACTAGAAATGAGAATGAGAAACAAGGATATGGTAGATACGTGGCCAAATAAACTCTCATTGTTTTCGGCTCGAGGGTCAAGAGGCAGCCACAGGCCCACAGATCCCATTTAGGAGGAAAGAAATTCTAACAATGGGGGGGAAGGGAGGTCCTGGTTAGTTGACACAATATTAAAGCAGGTTTCTTTCTTTGATGCATTAATTTATTATTATATGCGTCGACATGTAAATGATAAATCTGACCCCTAATTGTTGCCCCAGAAGAAGTTTCTCTTTCCATTCTCTATTGCAAAAGGGTAGCTTTTCTTTTTCTTATGGCACACCATTTACTTCCCTCTCTAGTATTTATAATGGTGTGAAGTCGACATTGTAATGGCGCAACATTTGACTTGTTCAGTTGTTCGAATTGCGAACCCTCCTTTATTGCAATATAACAACAGCTTATTTATTCTGCCTTAGCACAATCTTTGGAAAAGTCACAAACCCCAAACTCACCGCGGCCATGATTTCCATCCAGCCATCAACGTCGAGTCAGCTGCCAATATAGGATGATTTCATCGAATAACCCCTTCTCTTGGTTGCCGTTTTTATTTTTCCTAAATCCATCTTTTTCATATCATTTTCAATTCCTTGATGACAAGCTTACAGTTTCTTCCAAAAAGGTAGCACTACTCATCCTGAGATGGATATAATATTTTCGGAACATTGTGAACCTTTTGAACTCACAAAAGAAAGAAAGAAAGGAAACGCTTCATTCCTTAGCCTTTTTCATTGATAGCTCTATATGATCCATATACAGTTGGAAACTTCCATAACATTTTCAACTTTCTAGCATATCAAACCACGCCCTTATAAAACCCACTTATAATCAAATTTGTAACAGCAACACTTAAACCTCTCTCCCTACACCTTTAGGTTCTTTGCAGAACAGCTTAAGGAGAAAGATCCCACAATGCCATTCAGTTTCCCCTTCCATGGCTATATGATTTTCTACCACTTCCACTACTTTCTGGCACAAGCCCATCATCATCATATTCATCACCATCACCATCCTAATGGCTGCTACCCAAATAACATCTTTTCCTTTGCCATCCCAATTCTGCTTAACATTCTCGTCTTCAAGTACCAGAATCAACCGGAAGAATACTCTCCGTTTCTAACCCATCCCAAAACTGTCTTTCTGGGAATTCTGAGCTTGATTCTCTATTGCTTTGCTTATGATTATCAGCAAACACTATCCAACTCGCCTTACGGTGGTTCGTCCTCTGTTCTTCTAGCCAGCTTCTTTCATCGATGCACCAAGTTCTTTGGTTACATGGCAATGGCAATTTCGACATCACTTATCTTCCCGGATTCGGCTTCCCCTGCATTCTATGCTCTGTTTTTCATTATTTCATTCGATGATCTCCTCTACTTGGTCTACAAAAAGATCAGAAGAAAGCTCCGGCGAACCCGTTTCCAAGACCGACCGAATTCATCATTGTGGGAAAATGCACGCAGGATTCTAGCTCAGAGGAACTTAATTCAGGGACATTTGCTTCCACTATAGTACACAATGGTGAATGATGATGCCGCCTGGATTGTATGCTTATATTTTGGACATTTTTATGTTACTTTCTAAATGTTGTTGTATGTGTATCTTTCTTGTGTTTGGTTCAGATATATCTGTATTTCTTTTGCGTTTGCGTTTTTTTTTCCCTCCCAAAAGGCAAAAACCAGGTGATCCTTCATTTCTGTACTCTGTTCCCTTTTTGGTTTGTTGTTCCAGAAGAAATTCAGTTCCTTTTGTCTTCTCTGCTCTTTCCTTGGAACTATTACTACTATAATTTTTGGCACCAACTCAGATTACGCTGGGAGTAGAGAAATAGTAATGAAAACTTTATATCAATACTCCACTCGTCCTAAAATTTTCATTTTTTAAGTCCTAAAATTATTTCGTCTGTTGTATAACTTTTTCTTGGTCATTAGCGATATTCTTACTTCTTCCGGGAAAAAAAAACATACTTTTACCGGAAAAACCATGTATTCAGCTGTAAGATATATGATATTGTATCCCTTATCATAATGTTAAGAAATTGTCCTACACAGGACAGGACAGAGCAACGCTAGATTGCTCGAGTAAAACCTCAAATGAATGGAAACAAAGTTTCTTTCTTTCCTTTCTTCTTTTTTTTTTTTTTGGTCTCAATTAAAGGGATTTTCCTCGTAGTAACAACAATCCCCCAACATTAAGATTAAAGAGAAAAGGAAAATGATAAATTGACATCGATCTTGTGATACAAGGTTCTACAAGAAAACGTTTCAGACAGAGCCTGTGTAGCTAAGTAAGATTACACATTGGAAACTATGAAGCAACGAAAAAGAACGGAGCAACTCCATAATGTGACCAAAAGTACAACAAGAGATTGGCTGACTCCATGGAAGAATGTGTTAGCACCCCTGAGTGAGTGTCTCTTTAAAAAATTCTGTAAAATCCTTACACTAGGTAGAAACTAGAAGAGTCAAGTGACCATTTGTGGACTCCTCACACTTTTCCTCACTATCTGAGCATTTACAGAAGTATCAGTTTATCTAAATCGATAACTCTTGCGTATTTGATTCAATATCACCTCCCACGCACCTTTTCTGCATTCATCTGCGTGAAAAACAGCTAACAATAATAACTCAGACATCTCTCAATTTAAGAGAAAATGTTGCCTGGGAAGTAATGTGGACGTGCATTACAACAAAAGTTTTAGGGGGAAGGGGAGCAAGGAGAGGATGAGAAAGCGGAATAACGAGGTGGAAAGTTTTCATAATATTGAGACGTACAAGAGATCGAAACAAGTCTGTCGTAAATCATCTATTGTGTAAGAATATGTGATAACCAACCTGAGAAACGAAGCCATGAAACTCCTATAACAGCACAATCAGTCTTCGTGTTCATCCTCCCCTTCAGAATCTATGTGCCATCAAGTACAAGGCATCAGAAGTCATTCCAACCTCATAATGAGGTTTGATAAATGCGGCAAATTCATATTAGCAGTTAATTTCACGTACCAGATCGAACATCTTCACTGACTTGACCCCTTGCTTGGATTTGTTTAACAAGCATCCGATACATGAGAACCCACCAGTAGATGTGAAGGACAAGCAAGCAATACAGAAGGGTATTAAATATGTAGTAGTAAAGTGGTCCTTCAAATCTGTGTTTCTCTTTATCCAATGTCTGGACGACTTCGTAACTGTTGTCGTCAAAACAGTTTAAAAAAAAAAAAAATCAAAATCAAACATTAGGAACTAAAACAGAAAATGCAACTACACATCCATTGCACTATTTGAAGCAGATTTTTTCATTGAATTAAGCATGCAAAAGAGATGAGACAAATTAATTCACACTACGTTTCTACCAAAACATGGAGTGTACAATTTCGAAGGCTTGATGAAAGTTTTATTCACCCAAGAATATTCTGTTCAAACGCCAACACATTCGTTCACACTTCTCATGGGTACGAAAAAAGAGTCCCAGTAAAATACTAAGTACAAAAGGTAACTTGAATTAGTGTACATAATTTTTAATTTCCCAATAGAAGATGACCAATATATTATTCCACAGTAAAACAACCTAATGCCACATAACTACTTAACACTTGGTATATGAAATCAGAAATTACATTGCATCAAACATGAAACACACCACTTGCATTTAATACAGATTAAGTCATATGCATCTAAACAAGTTGCTTGTACATGCAAAAAAGCAGAAAAACATCATTTAACAGAAAGTAATAAAAAATTATCCAAATACAAGTTATCCCAAAAAATCCTACTTCTTTTGTTGCCAGAGTTCATCAAAGAACAACAAAACATTGCAACTTCCGAACTTATCAGTTTTAAGGTCTGTACACGGATGATAGAAAATGAGCCACAGTTTATAATGATTCTCAGGCAATCTTCAAAATTATGAAGTCCAAAGTATCATTCAGAAATTAGAGCGGAATACCTTGTGCTCCAGAGCACCCAGAAAGGGTAGTAAGTAAGACGAAGAACTACCCAGGACAGAACAAAAAGGATAAATGAGAAGCTGGCCACAGCTTCTGCACCGCTATACTTGGACATCTTTCCTATTTCCAGAAAAACATCACTAGCATCATGAAGAGCTAAAACAATTGAACCCACACGAGCAAACCTGCAAGGAGTAAGTACAATATTCACATAAATTTCACGACACAAATAACTTTCCCACACTCACTCTCCCTCTTTTCTCTCACTGTCATGCAGACAACCTGCTACCAATTCACCTCAGCAGCTCGGCTTATATTGGCTTCATGTAAATTTGCCACTTGATTGACTTGTCAATGACTATTGGGGTCAAAGAGCATGCCCACTTTAGTTTTTCCCTAGAAGAACTCTATTAAGTCAATTTCTATCGCCACTAATACAATGTTTCCACTCTCAATTCTCTCAGTTAAGTGATAAGATATGACAATCCACAAGTTTTGATGTTCAGTTTTGAAAAGGATAATTAACATCCATAAACAAACCTCCAAATGTAAGATAATCCAATGAGAATGGCAGTTGCAACATGATGACCCATTGAAACTCCAAAGTCAGAGCGCCTTGTCTCCCAAAATACGAGGGCAAAAATGGAGTATGTGTAAAATCCACCAGTATACATGTAGAGGGCCTTGAGCTTTGACCTAGAGCATACATAGGAAAGGAGTTCAACTAATCAGATGGCAGCTGAAAGTTCATTCATGACCCAAGGGACACTTATAGAAATAACCCAGAATGGCACAAAGATCAACACAATCCTTGAGGACAGACTCAATTCAACAAATGTGGGAGAATAGAACAGAAGGTGACCTAATAGTCTTTGTAATATCATCGAATTTAAGTTCATAGTTTTTCTTCATTTCTTTCACAGTTAAAATAATGGTCCAGTTAAACATGGCTAAAACATCAATAACAACCAAAAAATAAAAAATAAAAAGAAACACAAACTTACTTGTACATTTGGACAGGCCAGACCTGATCCCCAGGCCCTACCCAATAGTATTTTGTGTTTGTGAACCATGGCTCATTGTATGTTACAGAAAGTGCAAAAATCTCCGCTGAAAGGTAGTAAATACATTTCCATGCTGACTCTTTGAATTTTCTGATTTTCTTTCTTTGCTCATCTGTCAAATTGGCATGCGTCAACTGTCCTTTCCCAAATATTAACCTTCTACCCACTTTCTGCAGCAGGAATTCCCATTCCAAAGTTGAAAAAATGAATTAAAAGTAAAAACAAAGAAAGGAGAAATCATAAATCATGGAAAACAACAACTGGATGGGGCAGGGATGTGTGTTGTTTACAGAAGAGGAGACACAAAGGATAGTCCTTAGCATTTAATGTACCCAAAAAGAAGATGGACAATGGAACATCGTCATAGATCATGCAAGGAGCATTACTCCCATTCATGTCAAATACTAGAATTAGGTTGCTGATTAAAAGATACTATATCCTCAATTTTGTTATTTAGGTAGGCTAAATATCATATATTCCTGAACTTGCCCTAATCTTAACCTCTTTTAACACAAAACAGGATCGGAAAAAGTTGCTATCCATATTTAGAAGAGAAAAACTGAGAATTAAAGAGCGCTTACATTATCATTGCTAATCTACTTATAGAGATATCAGTTTCCAATCCACCATTATAAGTTCCAAGAAACCCGTAAAATTGATTCGAAAACTAGAACATGTAAAATGAAGTCCAAGAAGAGGATCATGTATTTGAAGTGCATATAAAGTTGAAATAGCAAGAGCAAAGCCCCCATGACCAATCTCAACTGCAAAAGATAGCAACTACATAAAACAAGACACAGAATTCATGCCAACTCCTCATATTTATCATAGAAACTAAAACTTCCTCTAGGCTCTTACAAAAGGTTAGAGACTAAATATCACAAATCAACATTCTTACAGGCCTCAAATGCTTTGCCAACCTAGTAGCACTAACAATCTCAGCATCACAAAGCAACAAACAGAAGCAAAATCCCAACTCGTATAACGAAAATACAAACAAAAAAGAACACATAGAATACTGGATTCCATTGCAGATTCACTGAATTCCACTGAGCTCATTATTGTCAACCCAATCATAAGAAAAGTAAATCATTCCAGAGAAGCATCAAGAATTAATAACCCAACACCAGTACGAGTTAGAACATTAAAAACGCAATCGAAATTTACCTCAAATATAAATCTATCCAGAAAGAATCGGACAGTTGGAAAGAATATGGCAAATAAAGGAAGTGCCAGAAAATCTTCATACTTGGGGTAAGATTCTTGCTCCCAATCAATAGAACGAACCAATTCCAACAAACCCATCTAATCAAAAGTCCCAAAATCCAATCTTTTGAGGCTTCAACGTTAAAAAAGGTGGTAATTAGAGCGTGAAATTAATAGGGAAGAGCGCAATATGGGATCAGAAGAAGCATTGTTATTCTCCAAGTAAAAGACTGGTGACAACAAAGTCTGGCGACCTTTGAACTCAGACAGATGGGATCAAAAGCCGGGATTAGTAAACCGGGTCCACAATTAAATTTTTTTTATTAACTAAAAAATAAAAATAAAATTTTTCTGGACCAGATGTCAATATCATTTGGGATAAAAACAGAAAAAGTCCCTTTTAACTTTGTGTTAGAATCAGAATTTTAGGAGTGTTAGATTTCACTAACTACTCCAAAAAGAAACGTAAATGATTATTTAAGGGTAATTATTGACAGAAATAGTACCAATAAAAAACAGCATTTATGACTTCTTAAAGTAACTAAAATTTATCCATACTGCAGTGAGGATGGTACTATATCCTTTAGTGTAGCCTTTCCAACATTTTGTTCTATTATTCGTGATGGAATTATTAGAATAAAATTTTTCAACAATTTGTCTAGAGAGAAATGTTGGATGATTATTAGCGTTATTATCACTTGATCCCCGTAGTAAATTTACGTTTTGGAATCTACCGTGATTGTCTTATAAGGAGGTTGTTTTTCACGAATTTGAGATATCGTTCATAATTAATAGAAAGTGAGAATGAATAATACTCTCTCCGATCCTTAATATAAGATATTTTGATTTATTCTAAATTTTACTTAATACGTATTTTTAACTGTAAAAAAAATTTAAAAAGATTTCATAACAATTAAGAGAACGCAACGAATGCGAAAATATATTTTTGAGGTTTTTTCATCGATTAAAAATGCAGACCATGTGAAACTTAGAACAAATCAAAATACCTTATATTAAGGATCGGATGGATTATCCATCTAAAAGCAAATTTAAGAACTGAATCACTATCCGCCCTTTTTTTTAACTTTTTTTTTGGTTGAGTTTTTATAAAGCATTATCGAAATGCATAATGAGTGAATTAGTTTGATCACTCCTGTCCTAACATAAAATCTAATCTGAGTAAAGAGCTGAAAGGGTTTGATCATAATAATGAAATATGTTTGTATGTGACACACAAAACAAAAGATCAAGAGTCAACTCAAGCATCGAATCTTTTCATTAGATTAGAGTATAATACATTTAGCACCAACTGCAAAATGCTATGGATGAAGTAGGTACACCCTTCTGTAATACAGGTCAGAAGATAGGGTAACATCAAGTCATCTACAATCTCAGCATGTGCAGATATCTGATCACTCAGCATAATTCAGTATCAAACTGGACTAATATCCCCATTCCAAGAAGCTCCTGGCAGAGCAACTTGGAGCCATAAGGGAGATTCACCTTCACAATATCATTTCCAGATTTACATACCCGGCAATACGGTCCTCGCACCTGGCGGCCACCCAACAATGTCTTCAGGACCATATTTGCCATGTGTTTGCACTTGCGGCAGACGTGCATTGACGAGCGATCGCTCATTGTGAAAAGCCGCTCATCTAGGTTCGCAGAAGCGCCGTGAGCTTGCAAACAATCCCTCTCCATCTCGCCAAGTTTTATACCACCAAATCGCTTCTTGTCCACCACCGGCTGGCGAGTTAACGGGTGCACTGCCCCTGTGTTCCGGTACTTTATCTTGTCTTCAGCTATATGAGCGAGTCGCTGATAAAATGTTGGTCCCATGAAGACTAGTGAATCCATCATTTCGCCTGTTTGTCCATTCCAGACTCTCTCATCTCCCCACCTTTGAAATCCAAGCCTGCAAAAATGCGATGTGCAAGTAGTTATAAATCATCTATACACAAAAAAAAAGAAAAAGAAAAAAAGAAAGTAGTGTTTGGCAAAGTTCTTACTTATGAAGTTGGTCTGAAATTGAATCCATTGGCGAGTTGGAAAATGGTGTGGCACCTTTTAGAGTTCCACCAAGGGCAATCCCCTTCCCCAAAGCAGCCTCTAACAGCTGAGCCGGAGTTTGTCGCGAAGGAAATGCGTGCGGGTTGATTACAATGTCAGGGACAATGCCTTGCATCGTGAAAGGGAAATTCTCCTGACATTCCATAAAACCTACAACACCTTTTTGTCCATGCATACTTGAAAATTTATCTCCAGGAGCTGGCGAACGAACCTGAACAATGTGCAAACAAGTATACTTACTAGATAGCCAGTAGCATAAAGATTAACAAAATATGTGAAGTAAAAAAAAGAGCAAACCTGTCTCAGGGAAACAGCTGTTAAGTTCTTGCCTTCATCATTAGTTGACAAGACAACCTTATGTACTATGCCTCTTTCGGTATGCTTGAGTTTCACACTTTGATCTTTGCCCGAACCTGTAAATTTACCTATGATTATGTCATTAGTTTTAAGGCTAGCACCAATGAATGGAAAACCATCATCTTCAAGGGATTCGTCTTTGCCAGCTTCACTCAGCATCTTTCCAAACTTTAAATGATTTCCAGACCTTGACCTGGCTGAGGCCTTATTTTCTTTAATCTCATCTACCTCTGACTTGTAAGTTCTTATATGCTCTGAACGGAACATGCCACGCTCTACTGAAGCTCGATTCATCACGATAGAATCCTCCTGATTGTATCCGTAGTGCACATTCACTGCTACAATGGCACACTGTCCGTTGTAATATTGAGGACATGATAACATCCCTTTATGCGCACGGCCTGTGGGATTTCCAAGAGATTCTGATAAAACTGTTCGAAAAAGAGGACTCTGGGGATAGTACAGCTGATGGAAATTTGTATCCACCCGAATATTTGGGTTTGTGGTGGAAAACCCAATGGCCTGTTGAGAATGCTTCTCGGCCTGGTAAAGAACTCGGCGAGCATGGTCATGATTGGGATACGGGATGCTACCACTACTCAAACCCAACAAAAATGTCGAATCAAGTTCACAATGAGTGAACTCTCTGGGTGGATTCTCTTTGCTTCCTTCTAGCAGGTACTCAGTTCCCCAAGCAACTGTACAATCTTCTTCTTCTTCAGGACCAATAAGTTCAACAATCCCTTTGTCCAATAGAGTCTGAAAAGGATAGCCATGACCTCTGAAATCTAGAATGCCCCTCAGATTATCAACAACTATAAGAGGGCGGAGAATTCTACCGGCATCAGAAAATATTCGAACTTCTGAGTGCAATGGATCTCTTTTGATTTCCACCTACAAGGAAACAGCTTATAACATTTCAGACACACATTAGACTTAAAACAGTGCAGTGGCTATGATTGATTGATGATTATTCAAAACCAAGGTGGAAATGAACTTTCTATACATCAAGCTTCTTTAGCAGTATAGGTAAAAGTTGCATGCTGTTGGAAAAAGAAGTCAAAGATATTTTAAAGAAGAATGCAAAAGCTTGTTGTTTTGATCATAAAACGATTGTAGCATTTACGTCAAGACAATAATATTATTTCTTGTGATTCAAATAATTGAAAGAACCTGCTGGTCAAATTCCTTTTTGCGACGCTTACTCCTCAGGGCTGCTACAAAGCCTTCAGAATCTTCACATGTTCCGATCCAGTTCCCATCCACGAAAATTTTGAATTTCCCAGAAAGAAAAGATGAAGAATGATCCACCAACTCTGTCATTCCACATTCAAGCAACTTGTGGAAAAAAGGTTCTGATACAGTAGTGCTGACAAGTGCCAAACATGCCAAATTCTTTACTAGCCCACAATTTTCTCCATCTGGTGTAGAGAGGAAGCACACCCTTCCCCAGTGTGAAAGATTTCTGCACCATTAATTTCAACCATATATAACTACTGACACTCAAAGGAAACCAGGTAACTGATAATAGACTCACCCATATTCCGTGATCACATACAAAAACTAGCAACTATGACTAAGTTTTGAGGAGTATAGCCATGATTAGACTTCTAAACATCTCCTTAAATATATTTTCCCATGCATCAGGATAGTAAAGTACCATTATGCTCAAACTAAAATAGGATATTATTCAAGTAGAAACACTAAATTCAATCTGAAATCTTTTAACAATTATTAATAACAGATAGTTTGAAAAAATTACTAATAATGGAAGAAGAATATAATTCAGGTAATAATAGGTTGATTTTCTTACGGATATCTGGCATCACCTACTCTCCCGGTGTATGATACCTGCTGCCTAGTTTTCCTCATGTCAGCTGTTGTTTGCAATGGATTTGTCCGTTTTAGAATTGCGACAACACCAGACACCCTCTCAGATTTCTTGTAGGGATGTGACCATCCCCCAGTTGAAAATGCCCTGGAGAGACCATTACTTATAATTGAGGCATTAAAATAGTGTCCAACATTTTGCAGTTCTTTATCTCCTTGAAGATCTTTCTGCATGGCCTTACTCATGTATCTTTGAGCATGCATAAGGTGAGTCATCAATTCCCGCTCAAGTAACTCAGCAGCCAACTCAAGTCTCTTGTTCCTCAAATCATCTCGGTTGTCAATTTTTCTCTTGCCAGTATAGGCTTCCAACAGACATCTGACCATGTAACCAAGAAAGCGAGCCTTGAGCTTAAGACCCTTTAAATTTGAAAACAGTAAACTGCTGAGACATTCTTCAAGAGGTTCTTCAGGAAAGAATTTACAGTTTCTCAGAAGTTTTTCAATATAGTGGAAAGAATTGTTATCTTTCCGGAAGTCTTCACACATCTTGTCTGCATAATAAATTGAAGCAACAAGAATGTTGGATATTCTGGTGTCCTCAATGTCCATGCCAATCAGATTCACAACGTCTCGGTCTGATGGTGTGCCAAGGGCGAAAAATAATATCCAGACAGGCATTTGTGTCCCAAGAAAGTAAACGTCAAGGACTTTTTCTCCTCCAAACTCATTATCAAGCAACTTCAAGAACACTCTTTCTCTTCTTGAAACTTGACGATAAGAAATCGTCCAACTTGGAGTCTTCGAAATCCAAAGTCTCTTCAAGCACATCTGCTCCTGTGCAACGAATATCTGTTGCAAATTTACAAAAATTAGAATAACAACAATGCAAACAACATTTCAAATGACCATGAATATGCAGAGGAGATTTTGTGAAGGAAAACTTAACTGCTGTGTACAGAGGCGACAAGTATTTATTCTCATATAACAGGCAGATACTCTACCCAAACAACAAACTATATCCACATGGAAGGGAAAATGCTATCCAAATTAAAAGTATTCAAACCTTCTCAGCGCCCTTGATGATGAAATATCCACCATTATCGAACTCACAATCAGCCTTTGTTTTTCCTCTCATCCAACATATGTCGGATCCTACCATAATAGGAAGACTCCCAAATGAGATCTCTTCCTTCCTCTCTTTCACACATTTCTCATTGGTGTACACCTGTAGGAACAAGTAAAAGCAAATTTCAGTAATAAAATCAACGCCAAAACCTTTACCTGTAACAGAAAGGGATACTAACTGTTTGCTCAGAAATTATTTAGAAATATTTTGACATCTAAATAAAATTTGACTTCTTTTCTCCTACAATTTGCAATTGATGCATAACATTTGTACAATGTCAGCTTAAAAATATTATTTAAACTAAGGCCAAAGAGCAGTTGTTAACTGAGAGGAATCTTACTATTGTCTCTAAATCTTATCTGCTTGCATAACTGGAATCTATATCGGCAGGCCCTCCCTTGTCTTAGGTTTAGTTTAAATATGTGGAGGAAAAAAAACTAACAACCTTTACATCCTTTATGGAGTAGTTGCATCCAGGTTTAAACCTAAATACAGAGGCAGTACACGTATGACAGTTATTATTGTTTCGAATCATTATCCAAACTCCAAAGCTCTTAGATTTGCAAGTTATTTCAAATACATTTTAGTATACAATTCTCTTAGCTCTAAGAATGAACTAATCAAAACGAAAGAAGCTCCCTGGTGACACCTGCTCCCATGATGGATTCTCTACATATACTCAGGTAAAAATCTATAATGAGAGCATATGCAAAGTCTCCTAACAATGAAAAATGTTACACCAAACCTCTCAAAGACTTGTGAACCATTTAATTGAGGGAAATCCTCAAAGAGGCAATCCAGAAGAATTCTCAGATGTCTCCAGAAAGTAAAAAGTATCCAATTCAGTCAATTGAACCATCGCAAGACATAGTATATGTAAATCAGTTATGGTCTCAATTCACATTTACCAACATGATCAATTAAAAATGCAATGTCCAACGAAAAGCAAGCAGCCAACAAATGAAAAACAAATTTGTAAAAAAACAGTTGGGTTTAACCTTCATATGACTCTCAACTCGAATCCTAGCTGCATAAGTCAAGTTCTGAAGGCGGGCATGACGAGGAAGCAACTCGTAGTTTTCTTTACCACCCTCATCAACGAAGTTTTCACTGGTCGAAAATCTTGGCTTTTCAAGATTCACCTTCCCAAACTTCACTGAGACACATTTTCGCCCGAAAAGGTCACTAGACTTTGAGGGATCAGTCACAGAATCAACAATGATTTCTCCCAACGAATCAAACACATTTTGAATACCATGGTTGATGAATGCATTGTAAGAATTAAGTTGGTGACTGATAAGACCATATTCTTCAAAGAAAGCCAACGATGCCTGCCTACAGGATTCCTTCAGATTGTCCTTCTCAGCTACTAAATCAACACCATCTACATCCATCACACCTCCTTTTTTGTCTTTAATGCGAATTTTACTTCCTCCTTTCTTCTTCATTGAACCAAATCAATTTTGAAGGCTGCATTTAGTTTTTTTAAAAAAAGTGAAAACCAATCACAAACGTAACATAATCTGGAGAACTGAACCGACAAAGTTTCTTCCTTGACAACCAAAAAAAAAAAAAAAAGGTGACATTTTTTTAACAGTTCTCAGTGTATTACTGGAAAAGGTGACATTTTTCTTAGAGTTCTCAGTGTATTGCATCAAATAAAATAATTTCCAACTCTTAAATGAACCATCTGAGTAAATCAACATTACAGGGGTGCCCACAACGCCTTACACAAAAAGGGTTCAAGGTTGGTAACAGAGAAGATCAAGAACTGGAGAAAATAGGCACCCCACTTAAAAAGGGAGCAGATCATCCGTTAAAACAGTAAAAAAAAAAAAAAAAGAAACATTGTAAAAATAAAATCATAATCAGTTAAAACAGTAAAAAAAAAAAAAAACCAAAAATTCTGGTTACACCTGTTACATAAACAAAGCCGCCCAAGCCACTGCCTGCTCTGTTTTCTAGTGTTCTTCCAAAAAGATCAAATCTTTTCAAGAAAATCTAAGTCACACATTTCTAACCAAAAAAGGTAAAAAGATGAAAAATGTACTTACATTGAAGAGAGGATCAAAGCTCTTCTTACTCTGATAATGGTGGTGAAGAACTGAAGATGATCAAGAAATAAATTTTGACAACAACCCAACAACAAACAAGCAAAAACAAGAACGTCCGTACGGCTGTTTTCTCTGTTCTTTTTTGGTTTCTAGGAAGAAGAATGAATGAATGAACTGACATAAGAAAAACAAAAAAAAAAGGTGAGATATCAGCATCATCAGATCAGTAAATATCCATTTCTTTTTGACCGGTGAGAAACTGAGACGGTCCGGTAGAGGGAGCATCAAAAGAGCGGGAGTTGAAGCGTATAAGAAATGTCTGTTTTAACCTCGGATGAATCTCCGTCATAAATGCGCATCTTGCCTTTTTTGTGAAAGTAATTTGGAAACATGAGTAGGGGCAGGAGGGGGAATTTGCGTTGCAGTACAGCTATTTGTCTTACGTAAGAAAAGTAGCTCTTCTTTCTCCCATGCAATGTCAGAAAAGACACGCAAAGGCGTGTTTTCTTAGCCAAGGAACATTGTCACGCTTTCTTAATGCGATTTTTCTTTTTTCCTTTGCTTTTGCCGAGTTTTCAAATTTCAAAATGTTTTCCCAAAATAGACAAAAAAATATTAAATGTGTATTAAATAGATCATCATGAAGGCTTTTTTCTCGTGAAAATTAAAGTTGATTCACAGAATTTGAGCATTTTTGTAATATATATTATTTGTAAGTACTACCTTCCAAAAAAAAGTAGTAAGACATAAATTTATTGATAAGTAAGATTAAGGTTGTTGTTACATGCAAAAGTCATTCCTGTTATATTTTCAAGAAGTCTTTCCTCACTATAGATTGATTTTGGCTTACAATGTTCCTTCTTTGTTTTTGTTAAGGAGTTGCTCAGATTCATTTACACAATACACTATAGTCTAGACAAATATGAAACAATAACGTTATCCTTATTTACTCATTCAGTGACACATTAATAGTTAAATAAATTTGTCAAACCAAACTGAGATGACATAGGTGGATTATAAATATAGGACAAAAGGAGTATTATACTATCTTGTCTCCTTGTAATACTTTTGGTTTTTTTTTTCTTTTTTTGAACTATATAATGAAGCGTCATATATACTAAATATTTCTTCTTAAGAATCCATTGATTATACCAAATATACTTTGACCTTGTTGTATTGATATGGAACTTTTGATTAAAATATATGTTGAAGGAGTTTTGCCTTTTGAAGATGATTTATTCGATTAAAATTTAAATATAGTTTACACAATAATTTCAAAGACTGGGTGCCTAATATACGTGGCTGACCAAACACTAAGAAACTATCTAATCATATCATATAGTTTATGAGGGTGACACACTCCCTAAAAGAAAGAATAAATAATTATGATATTCCTATTTCAGTGCACTGTTATTGTAACCTTATTTTTAATTGATTTTGGCAGTATTATTACATTTGATGTGAAAAGTTTGTATTCTAATACGGGATTTTTCAATAGGGTCGATTATTGGATGTTTGTTAATAAGTGGACATGTGCGTTTTAATCATTGAAAATTTTTGCTTACTTCAACAAAGAAAATTTTGTTTGTACTCAAAAGGGTTTTGTGGGGGGTGGGGTGGAGAGCTAGTAACTCACAAGCAATAATGTAATATCAAACTACATAGATTACAAGACAAAGTTTACCAAGTTCATGAAAAAGTATTTATTATATTATTCTAAAACTCGCAAATCTGGTCGTTGGTAAAACTCGAATTCCCAACGAGAGAAGCACAGAGTTACTTGAGCTCAAACCTCTCAAACAACAACGATTCTGGACCGATTTATATAATGATTCGCACGGGGGAGAACTGGGGAATTTCGTTTTCATCCAAACAAACAGACAAAGAAATAGCTGGGAATAATTGATCAGTGATTGAACCCCTCTTTCAATTTCGGATGAGGTGTGCAAAAGGCTCCCACAAGAGAGTTGATGGAATGAAACTAAGGAAAAGATTATAAACACGCAAATGTCGGTATCCGAAATGCATGATATGATTCAGCTTTTGTTGCCATTCACAATGTTTGAAACACATAAACAATACAAACAAAAGATTGCAATTAGGTCGAATCCACAGCTAAGGGAATGTTGTCTTGTTGTTTATAACTTCCAAGAATTATCTTCTTAGGGGAGCCCTACCCCAGTACAAAGTCAAGAATCAATCAAAAGAAAAGGATTGGTATTCTATCATCCCAGAATAATTCAAGCCTTCAAGGGGGCCTATTATCTCTTGTCTTAGTGGATGGACAAACAAACCACATAATGACCTAAGGGGAGAATGACAAACTAGTTGAGTGCGGGTTTGAACTTTCAATCATTCCTCTATATCGATATTAACTTTGGCAAATGGCGATCGAGTCATATGTCTATCTTACTATCGCGTATCGAATGTATGAATTATATGTTACCACCGTGCCCTGACATTTGAAAAATCAACGTAAATACTAATATAAAAATCTTATCTTTATCAACCCAGTAACACAAAAAAGGACACAACCCTGCTTTTACAGGGCCTAAGACAATAGCCTAACAAAGGGCACAATGGAGAACAGCATAATGATACAATCAAAACCTGATAGAAGACGCCAAAATACAGTTGGGTTCACTGTATATTTCACATGAAAGGCTGCTCCTGGTAGATGACAAACAATTAAAAAGGCTTAATAATATTGGTGTACTTCAAAGAGGAGGCCCTCATTCTAGCCATATGTGATCATTGATTTCATTATACATTCTTCTCTATATTAGTAGAGTGGGGCACATCTGTATAGCCATTTCAAAAGCTGCATTATATTTATGAGGTAGACAGAGGAGTAAAGAAGATGGACGGTATTATAATGTTCAGGTATGATGGTGTTATAAATTTAGAGTCAAACTTTTTTCAAAAAAAAAGAAGCTCTCTTAATTGAGGGATTAGTTCACCTGTATTTTGTCTTGCAGAGACAGTATCCAGATAATAAAGGGCAGAGAATTTATAGCAAAACTTACTTTTGGATTATAAGGTTCCATCAGCATCAGGAGAAAGGTTTCATTCATGACTAGTCTTTGCATGGAAGAGTCATATTGGTGAGGTGGAAGTCCTCCTTTTATCCTTCTTTGTTGAACTATCCTTTCCTTTCATATTTCAACAGCTAGCACAACAGTAATGGACTCTTCTAATAATATTGGAGACACAGAAGAATGCAGCAGCAATGAATCTGGATGGACTATGTACATTGCTTCACCAATCCAGGAAGATAATCCCGACGATGACGACGATGATGACAGCAACCATGAGAGTGGCACTGAAAGGAGAGAATACAAGGATTTCTATTACGACGATGGAGGAGACGGCGAAAGTGACGATTCCATGGCTTCTGATGCCTCTTCTGGTCCAAGTCATCAAGGAGGACCTTGTGTAACCAATAAAGGAAGCCATGGGAGGGATTTCCTGGAGCATGCAGGAGGCTCGGATGACAGAAGATCTACAGGCCATAAATCATACAAACAGATTGAGAAAAAGGAACGTGCTCAGAAACCAAAACCAGAAAAGGAGCAGCAGGGGCGCAAGGTAAATATTTCCACTGGTGATGTTTACAGTAAAGGCAAGTCTAGGAAAAATAAGTAGGTCGGTGTAGGCAGATATTACAAAAAAACATTATTTGCTTACTATTGTCAAGAGAAAAACATGGCAGAGGAAATCCTTGCTTCTTATTTGTCTCTTCCTGTATTTGTTCAATTGGGTTATTAATTTAGAATGTTTAATTTACATATGGCATGGATATCAAGGATCATATAACTAGTGCATAAAAGAGCAGGGGAGCTATAGTTCTGTTTCACTGTTACATACTTTTCTTCCTGCATACTTATTCATGAATGAACTGGAGGGAGAGACTTTCCCACAGACAAATTAAAATTGAAAAAGAGTGAAACAATCGGAGAGAGATTTGAAAGCAGGTACTATTTCTATGGGTTTCTTTTCATGCATAAAATTTAATAAGGGGGGAAATGACCTTCACCAGAAAGCTGAGCAAAATTGCAAGGATATATACTGTGAAGTATTGCTCAACTCACAGTACATGGTATAGGAGACAGCTCCATGGCAAAATATACTATTCAGAAATCATGCAATCAATAAACTGGATTCCTGCATAAACATGAAGAATGCAAGTTCAATTATAAGTGACGATGGCCAATAACAAGTCTTAACAGCTAAATACAGTAGATTCTGCAAAGAAGAAATCCCCAAAATATAGCCCACATGTGTATAGACTGATGCAAGCACTCAAAAAGAAGCAGAGTGGAAAAGCCGACGATAGTGACATCGCTATTAATGCTCAAGTAAATAACTGACTGACTGATAAAGATGAAACATGCTGGTCTAAACAGCAGGTTGACCAAACAGATGATGGAGAGTTACACATATGAAAGATGACACCAAAATTAAGTGAAACAGTTAGGGTATATCTTTGGCTATCATCTTTAAAAATCCAGTAGAGAAGACAGGCGCTCTGGTGCTGCTGGTTTGATTGCAAACCAGGAATCCCAGCGCACAAGGGACACAATTCTTGATGTTGCAGCAGATAGAAAACCAGGTATTGTTCATAGACCAAAATGCGAAAGACTGAAAAGTGGTATTATGCATCTTCAGATTTTTAGCTTAATGCTTTAAGAGGGAGCTCGCAGGTCAAGACATGCTAGATTCTCAGAGCGCCCCAAGTAAGCATTAAGTGTGCATGTTAGGTCCTCAAACGAACTCAAAACAATTCTTATGCAATCAGGAATTTCATATCAACTAGAAGTCTCTCAACATTTTCCAAAACAAAATTCGAGGAAGAGTAAATGGATGAAAAGATGTTGCACCTCAGGGGCACTGAAAATACATAAATCTCTTAGCCAAAAAAAAGAAAAATATATGGTAAGCTAGAGACAAATCTTTTCTGATCACAAGAACCTTATGTTTTAAGAAGTCAAGAAAAACTGATATTGAGCAAGTCAAAGCTTGCAGGGGGGGAAGGAAAAACAAGAAAAAAAAAAAGTTTATCAGAAAGGTACAACGCCAATATGTCTACAAATCATTGTAGACAACAGATACAAAGAAAACTCCATATGAATTGACAGACTCAGTTACAGAGTAGAGCCTCAAAGAGATTACATAATCAAAAGGCTGAAGCTTCAACTAACAGTAGTAACAGAGATATTATTCCAAATAACACTTACGGTCTTACATTGACGAAACACAACAGTAAAATACTTATATTTTGGACTGCTTGGCAATCTTGAACCATTCGGTGTGGAAGGATCCTGGCATGTCAGTCCTCTCATAGGTATGAGCACCAAAATAATCCCTTTGAGCTTGGACCAAATTAGCAGGAAGCCTTTCCCTCCTGTATGTGTCAAAATAAGCAAGACTTGTTGACATGCCAGGAGTACTAATTCCAGCGTTGATAGCAAGGCACACTACCCGTCTCCAAGCAGACTGTCTCTCAACAATTTCCTTTGCAAACTCTGGATCCACCAGTAGGTTTGCAAGTTCAGGGTTTCTGTCATAAGCCTGCTTAATGCGGTCCAAGAATATGGCACGGATAATGCAACCACCCTTCCATATCCTGGCAAGCTCACCAAGTTTCAAGTCCCATCCCTTTTCAATGCTCTTTGCACGGATTAAGTTCATTCCCTGTGCATAACTACATATCTTGGATGCATAAAGAGCTTGTCTCACGTCATCAATCAATTTCTTCTTATCCACATCTTGGTCACTGAGGATGTCACTAACACCACTAGACTTGAAAACTTTGGCAGCTTCAGTTCTTTCCTCTTTTAAACCACTAAGGAATCTTGAATCCAATGACGCTGCAATTGTAGGAGCAGCAATTGACAGGTCTGCAGCTTGCTGCACTGTCCATTTACCAGTCCCCTTCATTCCAGTTTTGTCAAGAACCTTGTCCACTAAATACCCATCTCCCTTATCATCCTTAATTCCAAATATATCGGCTGTAATTTCAATCAAAAAGCTAAGAAGCTCCCCCTTGTTCCATTCAGAAAAAACTTGTTGGAGTTCGTCATTAGAAAGCTTTCCAACTGATTTTAGCACATCATAAGCTTCAGAAATCAGCTGCATGTCACCATATTCAATTCCATTATGGACCATTTTGACGAAGTTTCCAGATCCTCCTTTGCCAATGTAGGTAACACAAGGGCCACTGTCAGGAACTTGAGCAGCCACCTTTAGTAGGATGTCTTCAATGTTCTTGTAGGCTTCAAAAGCACCTCCAGGCATCAAGGAAGGTCCATTACGAGCACCCTCTTCACCACCTGAAACTCCCATTCCAAGATAAAGCAGACCCAATTCGTTCATTGCTTTCTCTCTCCTCTCAGTGTTCTCATACCATTCATTTCCACCATCAATGATGCAGTCTCCTTTTTCCATGTAAGCAGAAAGAGTTTTAATGGTTTGATCAACAGGAGAACCAGCCTTCACAAGAATGATGATGACGCGAGGCTTCTGGATTGATTGTACAAAGGACTCAGGATCATGGAATCCAAATAGAGGAAGATTTCCCTCCCTTTTAGCGCGTTCAACAGTCTCATCAACTTTAGAAGTGGTCCGGTTGTAAACAGAGATCGGAAATCCTTTCTCAGCAATGTTAAGAGCAAGATTTTGCCCCATGACAGCAAGGCCACAAAGGCCGATTCTTGTTGGTGTCGCCATAACCTGAACCTGCAATAGTTACACAATGCCTCACATTAATATACTCTTGACCTTGATAGTTGAAATCAACAGACTACAAACAAAGACCCAAAATGAAAATGTTTGAAAGAACCACTAAAAGTGCAAATGACTTAACTTCTGCAAAGGATACGAATAAAAGTTTACACTCTTAGGTCATTCACATCTTTCCACTATAGAGACTAAAGCTATGACTGAACAAGAATTTAGCAAGGTTCTGAATTCTGATCCATTCAATTTGAACAAGAATTTTATACTAGATCCATGAAGATATATAATGGATCGGTAGACTGTCAGCTCAGTACATTTGCATGCTGCAAAGCTCAGATTGACCCAATTTAAATCAAGAAAAATATATATAAAGAACAAGAAACGAGCAAGACTTTCACATAACCAGATAAATGAAATAGCAGCGCATTCTCTGAAACCATGTATATGGTCACAAGTGAAAACTATATAATCCCACCAACCACAACATAACCATAATGATCAGTAAAAAGGAGCTATTCCAACAGAGAGATGATTCACCCAAAGGCATAAAAAACTTGCATGATGTCTAGATCCGGATAATTAATCAAAAAAATCGGTCGCATTCCAACCAAAAGCCCAAAATTATATCTAAAAATTAAGAAACACGATCATATCAGCAAGATCCAACTAACTTTGAACAAAAATCGGTCTTGAACACAATATACTCATCTAAACTTAAACATGTAAGAACTTATGAACGGAATAAACAACCAAAACCCACATTCCCAATAATTCTACCGATATCAGAGACAGATCATACAAAAATTGAAATCAGCACTGAAAATTCAGGACAAAAATAAAAAAGACAGAAACTTTACTTCAAATTAAACAGGACCCAGAAAAAATTTCAACAGGAAACTATGAAGATCACTCTCAAGAAACGATGGGAAGTCACAAAAAAGGGAAGGTGAACCTACCTGCAGAGAGCTTCGGGGGGTATATGAAGGAGATTGAATAGAGAGAGATGGGGAGAGGAGCAAAGTGTCTATCTTGCTTTGTTGAATGAGGTTTGAGGAGTCTTTAAGTCAATCAAAGGCTGCAACGATTTGTTACGAAATATAATAAAATAAAAATCAATTTGGTTTAAAATAATTCTTTTTTTCTAGAAGAAAAAGTGAGGCTGCTTTCCTTATTGTCTTTTAAACATTTGCCATGTCGTATGTACAAGTACAATGATTGACCAATTTAGGGTGAATTTTCTTTCTCTTTTCTAAAGGGTTTTAAAACTATATGCAAAAATTTAGAAGGAAAATTATGCACATGAACTATTTTGTAGCTTGAAGTTTGAACCGAAATGAATCTTATAGAGGTGAATGAAATGTAATCCGGATTTTACAAGGATTTTCTCATTACTACAAATTTAAAATCTAGATTTCCTTTTTATGAAAAAATTATTTTATCTATTAATCAATTGTTTGACATCTAGAAATGAATAGTTACTATTGTTTGTCCAGCTCTCCCACTTATCGAGGTGCTTACCATGAGCGAAGGGAATTAGTCAATACTGCTGACGGTGGACACTTTGTAATATGCAAAAAAAGATAGTCAGTTTCCTTGATTCAAATCAAATTATTTTATTCCGACAATAATTAGATCAGTAAATAGTTTAATGAAAAAAAAAAGTGACATATGCACATTACTAAAAAAAAACGAGGGATCAATGAAGGAGTCACCACGTCACCCAAATTTTTTGCAAAAGAAGGACTTAATAGTTCCGTACAAAATCTTATGAAATCATAATCTTACCCTTGGCAAATAAACAATGTATCGTTTCAATTCCTACAATTTAAATTTTAAAATTCCTAGATCTGCCTGTGCATATATGAAAGGTGAAGTGATAAAGAGGGTGGAAATACAAAACCACACATTGACAGTACATATGTGATAATGTGAACACCTCAACTATGAGAATCCAACCTTGACCAATTGTTTTTTCACATTAAAGAGCAATAATAACTGACTAGAAAATCCAGCATATTTTATTTAATTCCCAAAAAAGCGGTTTTAAGGTTTAACAGTCAATTGTTTTCGTCGAAAATTCCATGTTCTTCCTCTTCTTAATACTCTTCTTTTTTAAGGGGAAAAACAGCCTACATTATGACTTTCACCTAGCTCAAAGAGAAAGAAGCTGTTTGGCTACTAGTTACGGAGTAAAAGAAATGTTATAATACAATTATTATCAAAAACAATTTCTGACTTGTGGTAAAACACACGTAAACTTTCAATTTCGCACCCAAATTTATCATCTCGTTACGTAGAGTGATATATTTATCACTGCAAACTTTCATTCTATTATTACATATAGTGGATTTACTCATTTTTTGTGGGATTCCCGGTTTCAGTCAATAAATTAGTAATAATAAAGAAGCAACCAGCAATTAATTTTTCAATTCGAAAATCGACAAATCGTCTTCACCTACCGCACATGAAGCTGGCTTTTTTTTTTTAATAATATATTGACGTCTGCCAAAAAATCTCTTCGCCAATCGCGAAGCCGCATCTTTGAAAAGTCGCACGTTGCCCACGAACCAAAATACTCCTTTTGGTCTCATAAAAGATTTTCTATTACTTATTTTCCATTTTATGCGACATTACTTACAAAAAATACGGTATTTAACACGCATCTAATGATTCATCTAAATAGATTTATTTACCATTTAGTTACGGTGGCAGTATTAAAGTGTATCTCAATCACTCAACCAATATAAGCAAAAATGGTTCTAAAGATCCTTTGCCTTTCTTTTAATTTTAATATTTTATCATGTATTTTAGTTCCAATCATTCAGTATTTTACAAAAGATATAAAAATGGAGTGATAAAATGTGAGAGTGCATTGCTGGGGTGCCAGACCAGAAAAAAAGAGTTTCGAACCTAAGTGGAAATCACTATTCCTCCCTTCGAAATTATTGTCTAATTTAGATTTGTAATTTTAGTATAATAATTTAAACTAATAATGAAAATCTGAATTGGACAAAAATTTTAAGATATAAAGAGTATTTTTTTTTAATTTTTTTTTTGAGATATTTTAGGGTTGTCGGTCTTTAGAAATTCGATATAAGCTAAACAATAAAATATTAAAGAAAATTCTCTCTCTTTTTTTAAAAAAAAGAGGAAAAAAGATCATCTGATTTTTAGGAAAACGATAAAATAATGATGTATTTTCTTATAGAAAAATAGAATACTTAAGTCAGATTTTAGAATCCGAGAGTCTAAAATTGAAACTAGAATTTAAAAAGGCCAGAAAAATTTGCAGGAAAATTTTGATAAGAAAAATCGGATCATAAAAATCCAAAAATCAAAATCAGATACAACAAATTCCCCCCCCCCTCCCCTTTTTCTCTAATTTGGTACGGAATGGTAAAAATTTGTAATAAATTGAAAAACTTATAATCGGATACAAAAATCCCATATTTTAATTGTTTATTTTTGGACATATAGTAAAGTTGAGGATTTTTTGTTTTTATTTATGTTCCAACAACCCCTTTTCCTTAATAAACAAAAGAAGAACCACAAAAGAATTGTTACTTTCAATTTAAAGCCAAAATGTCCCATAATTATTGTCAAGTTTGGATTTTTATTTTTAGTTTAAATTATACTTAAGGTGAAATCTCAAACTGAACAATAATTTTGGGAAGGTGTAAACAAAAGTTGAGTAATCTGGTTCTGATCCCTGGTGTTGTCATACTTCACGGTTCAGTTCTAGTTCAGAACGGTGAGAAAATGTCATTTGTCTTTTATATTACTATTAATAATATTCTATTGTATTATTTACAAATTTCACATTTCTTGAACGATTGACTAATTTTAGAGTAAATTTTAAACGTGTTTATACTTAAGAGCATACACGAAATATACGTGTTCATATAACGTACTCCCTCCAGTCCTTAATATAAGGCATTTTGATTTGTCTATGTTTAACTTAGTATTTGTTTTTAATTGACAAAAAAACCTTAAAAATATATCATAACATTCTAGAGAACTCAACGAATGTGAAAATATATTTTTAAGATTTTTCTATTAATTAAAAATGCGTACTCGGTAAAATATAGAAAAAGTCAAAATGTTTTATAATAAGGACCAGAAGAGTATGCTTGTTATTTCCTGACTGGGGTGTTTTCATAGGCCGGCAAGTGAAAAGGGAAATCATATAAAAATCCTTCCGTTTTCAATTAGACTACTGATTACGATATTTTGTAGTTTGTGATTCATTTCCTGCACTCTCTTTGGCCCTTTCCATTCGTACGACATGATATCAAATGCTAATGAACCTTAATTCATCAAAAACAGAAGTTAAGTGCTTTGCTTTCCAGTAGCTAGCTCTAAGTTCATGAATGCATTTGAACATTCTTTCAAGAGATTAGTTTATTGATAAGATATCCAATCAGAGAGAGATAGCTCTATGATGAACGTACACCCAATAAACCGAATTATTTTCTTTTATTTTCTTGGACGGGGAAGTACGTACGATTTCGATTATTTCTACGCCTAATTATTTTTTTTTTTCCGTGACCAAATTCAGTTTTTTTTTTTTTAAAAAAAAAATCCACCTTTACATACCCCTACTAGGAATCGAACCCTGATCTATTACGAAGAAAGACAACACCCTAACCATTAGACTGTCATTTAATTTCTGGGACCAAATTCAGTTGTAAGACTAGGGGATCAGCCAGTAACAAAGGCGATTAATTTATTTTTTTTTGTGCAATGGAAGAGATTGTTAATTTTTTTAATTAACATTTATCTCAAATGTGTTCATTAGCCACAAGAATTAAAAAGAATTAACATATCATAATTTGGTGGAAAACTCTGTCCAAATCGTCGTTTGATCTCTCAGGGAGATTATGTCAATAAATACATATGTTACTCATCTGGACACGTATTAATGCCAAAGAGTTAAAGAAAAATGTGTTCCAAACACGGCTTGATTACTTCTTTAAAAAGGTGGAACACCAAGTACCTTGTAGCCTTCCCGAAGCACGATCTGGAATGTTATGTAACATCGAGATATCAATTTGATTTTTTTTTTTAAAGAAATTATGGGTAGTAATGGACTGGTTGTTAATTAATTTACTTGTGAGACCAAAGTTTTCCAGTACAGGAAATATATGCTTGAACTAGGACTCGATATCAAGTCATATGCGAGTTGGTAACGCTGTCTGTCATTGTTGACACCAATTTCGTCAATAGTGTCGACCCAACAAATGATATGAATCGGTCCGTAAATAATGAAATTCGAAAATCAGTAGTGCATCTAAGTCAGAAGTCGAAAGGAACCCGAAAGTGTAAATAGAATCAACCGCCGATATTATTAATTATGGGATATTTTCTATAATTAAGGAGTTATATTTGAGAGCTAATTCTATTCGCACAAGAATTAAGGTTGATTGGTTAAAAAAGGAGATCTCTTCACGCAAAGGCTGGTTTATAAAGTTAATTAATTAACTTCCTTTTTTATTAAAAGAGAGCATGGACGTGGACTTCTACTTGCACAAGAATTTGGTGGAATCTCCCTACCTTTTGGCGGCAACCGACCTAGCTTTTGCTCCAAGGAAAACTCACGGCCACCTTGCCTATTTAAAGAGAAGCTGCAACATCAACAATCGTCTCTCGATCAATCAACAATCGTTTGTTTTTTTCAGTTCCTTTTATTATCATGTTCTTTATTACGTTTTTCTTAATATAAACCCTAACGACTGTAGATATCATTTTTTTTAATATAAACCCTAACGACTATAGGTGTTTGCATATTTTTCTTACTATTGAGTGTTTGCCTGTTTTTCCTTCATAAAAATAGGTAGTTGTCCATATATTCTATTTCAGTGAATTTCATATCGCTGTAATAGTGTGTCATTGATATGGATTTTCATGTCAGCGCTAGTGTCTCTGGTCCGTGTCATAGCGTGTCATCGGCTGCTGTGTCATTGGCTACGTCTAGTCGGCGCTAATATCTGAGTCTGTATAATAACGTGCCATCGACTTGGGAGTTCCCTGTCGGCGTTAGGTCTTTTTTCTCTCTATAAATCGAGTCACTTGGCTTGTTCCATTATCTATTTCTTTTCTTTTTTTTTACAAACCAAAATAAACCTAAGTTCTCGATTCCGAGTCCGAGACTTGTTTTCGAACTCATCCACAATAGTTTTGATTATTTTATATTTGAAATATTTTTACTCTTTTTTTTTCCACGGTTGAAGATGATTTT